CTTAGATGTCTAGGCATTGTAGTATTTAACTCTTTTGCAAATTTGTAGACGATATCTCCTTTTTTGCGAAGGGGAAATATATGTCGTAAGTACTACAAAAGCAGAAAGCAGAAAGACAGATCGATAGACGAACGGATGGGCATGCATAGGTACATTGCAAATTTGTAACTGGCCAAGAATTTGTACGCTTTATGGGGTTTCGGAGGCTGTTTTTCGCCGCCGTGAAAAAAAAAATTAGATTTTGATAAACTATAATACTAAGTAGGCATGGTCAATTTTTTCCATTCTTGTGCGCAAATGCTACTGCAAAGTTCGCCCACAGAATATATTTTAATTCCAACTTGCGTGCAAGAACTTTCAACATTTCTCATAAATTTGATGTCCGTAGCTTCATTTTTGCGGCCAGAGGAATGTTCACAACAGACGTTACACAAACGAACAGATGGGCGGAGGAAAAGGCGGACAACTTTAATTGATTCAGGATTTAATGCTGATTAAAAATGTATATGCTTTGTGACGTATCTGAAGCTTCCTTCGGGGTGTTGCAAACATTTTGACAAAACGAGTGTACGCCTCATCCGTCGGTGATGGGCACAAAAGCCATAATTCTTAAAAAAAGTGGGTCAATATACTGCAAGTCTAGGCATTTCAATTTCATTTTACCATATGCCATTTGTACTGCAAGATATGTTAAGTGTTTGCGGGTGAATACAGCACCGAGAACGACTTAAGATAGATAAATTATGCCGATCGGGCTGTGCGTCTGTCCATTATTTTTGTGCTCAACTTTGTGGTCGCAATTTTTGAGATATTTTGATGATTGATCCAAGGACGAACTTTTTTTTGAACACGGCTTGGATCGAGACACTTTTTTATATAAAAAAAAAACAATGTAGCTTTTAGAAATATGTGGGTGTGGCTCTATGCTAGTTGTGTACATGCTTTTTTCTTTTTTTCCTTCTTATTTGTTTTATTGTACTTATACTAAGTTTTAATATTAATTAATTTAAGATTTACTTTAACAGTCAATTGAACTCCATTGTCAAAATTTTTAGTTGAGTTTCTTGTATAAGTGAAATGAATAAATAAATAAATAAATAAACTCTAGAAAATTCGTTCATAACAATAATTTTACATAATAAAAAATAAACTTTATCGAATTTGGACCACATAGGTCTACTGTTTACACCACACCATATATGTAGGGGCCCTCATAAAAGTGAGCCCTTCTATCGCGACAAAGCCTAATTAGTGGTTTCTTAGGGCGGAAGCAAATGGAAAATAATAAAATGTTTCACATTTGAATTAAGTTTGCTACATTTAGGCGAGGTTAGTTGACGTTTCGAGTGTACCCCAATATGGGCACTTTGCTGAATATTATATATTAGGTCACATTGAAAAATCCTTGCGGTTTTTTCTGCCATGTGATTAATATTCACATAAAAAAAAAGTAAGAATAATATAGTCGGACAAGGCGAACTGTTAGATCCCTGCATCACTACGCCTAATATAGTTACTCACACATTTTCGTAGTAATACGCCAAAAGTTACACATTTTTTTTCAAGCAAAGACATACTTTTCACGAAAGGCTGGAAAACATGGAGGAACTCTTATATGTATCCAAAAAACGACCTACGTTGTCCGAATTCAGCAAGGTTGATTTCTATGTTAATTTATTATTATGAACTAATTTTCATAATGAAATATTGAAAATTATACCTTCTTACCATATAGGGATACAGTTTTCTTGGAACGGTTATATGAGGAAAGGTTAAAAAATTGCTCCAACTGAACTAAATTTTTTATGCCAAAGGTAGAATTACTATCAAATACTAATTGTGAAAATTGTAACTGTTTCCAGATAACAACTTTTCATATATGCTATATAAGTAGTGGTCGAAATACTGGACCTATCCGAACCATGTTCAATAGCGCTTGTCCTTGGGGCGAAGCACATCAGTGTACCAAAAATTTACCAAAATATCTCAAAAATTGCGATCTGTAGCTTGATCGCAAAATACATGGACAGATATCAGGCGGACAAAACAGCTTAGATCGATTCAGGAAATGATTCTGAATCGATCGATATAATAAAAGGCGGATCTATCTTAAGCGGTATGGGGTATGATGAACATAATCGGTCCAGCTTAACTTTTGTATAGTTAAATGCTTGACTATTATATATTTTCATTAAAAATTTAATTAGTGGTACATATATATATATATCTATCACTGAGAAAGATGATTATATACTAATTCGTCGTAATGTTTGCAACGCCCAAAAGGAACCATCGGAGCCACTATAAAGTGTATACAATCTTAATCAGCGGAACACTCTGAATCGACCCAGCCATGTCTGTCTCTCTGTATTGCTGTGTCGTATGGGCTGTTTACACACTCCCGGTCGCAAAAATTAAGGCATCGACTGAAAATATGAGAAACACATTGGCGCGAGTTAGTATTGAAAATGTGGCATAGTGATCAAACGACACGATCACAATTAAACGTCAACTAAACGCACCTCCATTTATCTAAGCAAAAATATAGTAGTTTTTGTCAATTACTCATAAATTATGGAAGATAGAAGACTGATATGTATAGGACACTGTTACTCATCTGATCGAATTTTCGTTGTTTCGTTTTTTCGACTTTTTCTACTTATTACCAAACAAACAAAACAAAATGTTGACAATAATTCTGCACGCCCTACGCATGAAGATGCATTGCCTGTCTAAAAGTGTTAATGCTAAAATAAATATGATGGACTTGGCAGATTTTTTTTATCCATAGCAGTACAATCATTTAGCGAGTAGAATGGGACAGTGAGCCTTTATTCCTATTTTCAGATTGGAACTTCAACTTTGCCGATTTTTTCCAGCGCATTATGAGAATTGCCCAATCATATGGTTTCGTATGTATGCATACAAGTAAAACAAAAAGAAAATAACACGCAAGAATATATGACGATCGTTTCTATTAAATTTTAAAGTTATTTATCTCATTTATGTTTTTTATCTTACAGAAATGTACATCTTTTTTATATTAAGTGATACACGATTTTGTTTTATATCATGCGTGATAACACAGTAAGAAATGAAAAACAAGCAATAAAGACGATGTGTTTTAAAGTTGAGTTATGATCATCAAATTATTTTATTAGAGGGTGATAAATGGTAATTTCAAATTTTAGATCAATTAATAAAACACAATATAACTAATATTTATTCTGCATATATTTAATCGGTCTTCTTTATAACTAATCAATAAACAAGCTTGTTTACTTTTAGATTTTTTTATTTTATATTGCGGTTTTTTAAAAATTTGCTCTTTACGTTTACGTTAATTTCTTTATTTCCGGTTCTAAAGCCACATGTTTTTGTTTACGTATTAATGTAAAGCAATACGGTATGGCGACTACCCATTGTGTTTACCATTTGGGAGATTTTGGCCCGAAGACGAGAATGAGACGTCATTCTGTCAGCTTTCCACATGGACCTATTATACGTTACACCTTTTATGGAACAGGGTATATTAAGTTAATGCGGATATATGTAACGCGCAGAAGGGCTTAAGATAGGCTCACCTTTATTATATCGATGAATTCAGAATGATGATTCTAAATAATTTTTTGAATAGATGTAAGCCTCTCTATCCGGCTATCTGTAAAGTTGTGTTTAATCTGCAAGTCGCAATTTTTATGAAATTTAGTACACTGACGTGTTTTGACGCAACCTATTGAAAACGGTTCGGATCGGTCTGCTTTTTCGACCGCTCCCCATATAAAGTCCTATTCTGAAAAGACCTTATAAAAAAAAAAAAATTGTAATTTTTAAAACTTTTTGACAAATATGACTACATAATAGTATTTCCACATTCTAAATTGTTGTGAAAACTTTGGATCGACTGGAGCAACTTTTTGAATCCCCTCTCATATAAACGAGCCTACGAAAACTGACTCTTTATGTGGCAAAAAGGGCTAACTTTGAATATTTCATGGTGAAAATTGGCTCATAATAGGAAATTGGTAAAAAAATCAACCTTACCTAATTTCAATATTACAGGCCTATTTCTTGGCCGCACTCCATATAAGTTATCTCATAAGTAGCAAGCCCTTCAGAAAAAAGTTGAATTTTAAATATTTTCTGATGATAATTAATATGTAGTAGCGATTGTGCAAAAAAAATTAACGGTATGAAATTTGAAATACATAGGTCTATTTTTTTGGACCATACTAAATATAGACGTCACAAGAGAAAGTCTAATGTTCCAATATGCGGGCTTTCAAAAAAATCGTGACTTTGGAAGAAAATAATGTAAACTTCTTGGTGTATTATTACCAAAACGAGTAATAACTGTACTAACGGTGTAGGGTATGTATAGAGTTGAACAAATATACTTGAATAAATCTAATAAAACAAAATAATTTAAATACATAAAAAATAATTTAAATACATAAATAATTTGAATATATATAAGATTAAGAAGTTTAGAAAAACAACCATGTTCTTACACATGAAAATACTAACTATCCCAAGCTTTTGTGTATAGTCATATAAAAGTAACTGCGATCAAATTCATCCTCCCATTTATTTATTTATTTATTTTATCTTTATTCTTAAATTATATTTTATATATAAATTAATATTCATTTATTCACAATATATTGTTCTTGTCGCACTCTGTATGTAAGTTATAACGCAAATGCAATTGTTCAAATCTTTATAGAATTACGGGGAACATATAACAAAGTCATGAAAAAGAGATTAGGAAAGATAGCGAAAAACTTAACTTTATATTATAAACAAGATAATTAAGACTACATGGACTTACCTACCGAATTCGTTCACATCAGTCAGTCAAAATTCCACATCTCTCTTTTCCCGTTGTGCAAAAACTGACGGTCAAAATTCAACGCTATTTTACCAGAGATATTGAAAGTTGATATTACTGTTTTTTGACAGCAAAAATTGAGAATTTACTTCTTTTTTTTTTTTATAAATTTGAAACAAGTGTGAGAAAGCAAAGTTTTATCATCAGAGACGTCTGCTTATCATTATATAGAATATAATGGAAATTTAATTTTTTTATATTTTTTTAAGATATTAAAGTATAAAATAGTATTTAAGTGTTAGCATGGAAGCCACAGGTGATCAATTAATCCTGGCTACTGGTGGCTATGACCACACCATTAAATTATGGCAGGCACATACCGGCAATTGTATACGCACGTTACGTTTTGTCGAGACATCAGTAAGAAATTTTTTTTTTTTTTTAATTGTAAAAAAAGTAAAAAGTGTTGGCATTTTGTAGCAAGTTAATGCTTTGGATCGTACTCCTGATAAAACACGCTTAGCTGCCTGTGGTTATCAATGTATACGTTTATATGACTTGGAATCTAACTGTACTGTGCCTGTGATAAATTTCGAAAGTGTTCAAAAAAATATTACACGTCTCGGTTTCCAGGAAGATGGCAATTGGATGTACACAGCCGGCGAGGATCATCGTGTACGTATATGGGATATGCTGTCGGCCACACCCCACTGTTCACGTGTTTTCGATTGTCAAGCTCCGGTTAATGCGGCCTGTCTGCACCCTAATCAAGTAGAAATAGCTATGGGTGCCCAAAACGGTGGCGTTTATCTGTGGGATGTTAAGTCCGAAGTGCATGAACAATTGATACCCGAAGTGGATGCGTCCATACAGGATGTGGCCATTTCACCAGATGGCCAGTATATGGCTGCCGTTAACAACAAAGGCAATTGTTATATATGGTCCTTAAGTTCCTCACCAAATCAAAAACTGACCACCTTACAGCCAAAATTGAAAATTGCTGCTCATAAACGTTATGTGCTGCGTTGTAAATTTAGTCCCGATTCGCGCCTATTGGTGACAACATCCGGCGATGGAACAGCACGTATTTGGAAGTCTGACGATTTCACTATGTGGAGGGAATTATGCATTGAAGGCTATTGGGTTTGGGACGCTGCTTTTAGTGCTGACTCTAAATACCTCTTTACAGCATCTAGTGATGGTATTGCACGTCTGTGGAAATTACAAACAAAAAATCCTGAACGCAAATACACTGGTCACACCAAAGCCATAACAGCACTCTCATTTAGAGATGAAATTGTAAGCGAATAACATCTGGCCATGTTTCCTCTACCGCAAACTGGAGAAAAAGGACAAAGTTTCGATTCAATTATATGCGGCCAGAGCAATGCATTAAAGATTAACTGGGTGTGTGGTGCTTTTTGTGCTTTTGTAAGTCATGAAATATCTATTTGAACTGAGGGCCGGTGGGAACAAACTTTGTATTCATAAAATTTTTTAACAGCTTTTCTTTTATTGTAAGAGAAAAAAAAATAATAACAAAATGTTTCACATTTTTATGTATTTTTTTAAGGGGAGATATATGAAAATATGAATTAAAAATAAATTTGTAATAACTTATAAAAAAGATTAAAAAAGAATATTTCATTCGCATCGAACGCATGATAATAAATCACTTCACTGAATCCTTATTCCACAAACTTTATGTCTTTAACGACCAAAGGTTCACTAAAAGCGTCGGGATCTTCGTTGACTTTATATTGAATAATACCAACAAGATCGATAGGTCTGTACGTAGGATTAAATAGCAAAATAACTTGGTTAATGGAAGCAGCAGGACGAAACGGTTTAGTTGCCATCATTACAGTATCAGTGGCAGGCAACAAGCGCACTTTACAAGGCTGAAATAATCTTGCTTTAACAAATACTTTTAAATTTACATTTTGGGAAATTTTTACTTTCTTAACGCCAGCCTGAAACCGGAATTCTTTTATAAATGAACGGGATTTATTAATAGCAGTTAGGACCATAACAGAAACATTTGGCCCTGGACGATCAGCGGTAAAGTTCAATACGATTTTCATATCTTCATCATCAATCATACATCGTTCACCTTCAGTTAAAGGCGTCACTTGATCCAAATCTACGAAAATATCACATAAGCTTTCCGGCACAGGTAGTACAGGTTCCGGTACCTGTTCGCGCTCCTCCTCTTTCAAGTTGCTATTATTGGTAGTGGTGAATGAACTTGTGTCTTTTTTCAAATTATCGTCGTCAATTTGAAGAATGTGATCAATTAATATATCCTTAGCCTTTGTGTCCAATGTTTTATGCGACATTATCGGCAGCATTCCTTTCTGTCGAATTGACGTTGCATTAAAAGAGGAATGTGTTCTTTCTTTTGCCAGATCATTAAGCGTAACTTTCTCAGGTTCCCTAAAATATAAGAAGCAATTGAAAAAGTGTTATTGTTTAGCAATAATGCTGTCTTTTAACAGTTTACTTTTTAAAGCTTGATAAACGATTTTCAGTTTTTAAATTTTCTTTCAATAAGTCTTCGCTTAATTTATCAATTTCCTTTAATCCTTTAAAATCCTCTGGTTTAGCTTTTTCCACATCGTTAATGGTTGGTATGCTTACATTTACTTTGCTTTCGAAAACACTTATAGGCTCTAAAAGGTCTAGAGACTCTAATAAATCCCCGGGATAGCTGGTTGTTGAGTATTCCAGGACGTCTTCTTTCTTAGCTTCCACATTGGCGAAAATATCCGTTAATTCACTAATAGTGTCAGTTGGGGTTACCATTTTTGCATCGAACGATTTGGTCATGGAGGTGTCTCCAATCAGATCTTGAAGAATGTTTGTATCGTCTATTGTGGTGGTGTCAATTGTTTTCGCATTGTTATTAGTTGCAATATTGTCTACTGTTGTACCATTTATTATATTATCGTACCGTCCCATGCAATTAACCAGCAAACTGTAAACGTGGAAAGTATCCTCTATAATAACAGAACGAAAAAAAATAACGCATTATTGATAAGGTTACTTCATCCATTTCAATTTACCTATCGTCGCCTCATCGAATTCCCATTTTGAATCTTGCAACAATTTCAATTTATACTTTGAACCGCCGCAGCTTTCGTACAATAAACGTAAAGTGTCTCTGTCGTCATTATTTACTAATTCCGGTGAATAGTTGTCTAGCATTTCATTTAATAAGTCTATAGTGTTTTGTATTTCCCTAAGTTTAATTTTATGCTCACGCATTAGTTCCAATCGTTTTGCTTCTTGATTGAAACGATGTTGTATCAGTAGATTAACTTTTTTATAATTCTCTTCGCCACCTTGTTTTAATAATTTGGCCACTAAATCGTCATCTTTGCCCAAAATACTTTCCCGTTTCTCCCAAGCGACTGAAGGTGTTAAATTACCATGCTCGAAATTCACTTGCTTTTTCAAATTATCATAGGCTTCACGTATTTTCGTTTTATCCGAATGCTCCAATGTCCACAACAATAAACAATCCATAACGCGTTTTTTCACCTCCACACTGGTAGCGGGCCCGCTATGACGATCTATTACCAATTGTATCAGTTTATTAAGGAACGTAAACTTTGCGGTTTTCTTTTGGAATTCTGCTCCGCATTTTGACATGCACTCTTCTAAAAGCTAACAAGCAGTATATCGAAAGAAAATATAAAATTAGTTGGTTAAAATAGCAACCCTCTTACCCCTACAGCCCTTAACGCTTCCAAGCTGCTGGTAGAAAACATTTTTATAGTTAGTAAATCGTGCGCCTTATTGACTAAGTCCGCATTGCTTCTTACGATCAGGCAGAACATTTGTACTGCCATTTGATCTACAGAATCCTTTGCAGGATTGGTAGCCCTTTCTAGAGACGAATATCACCATTACCGGGAAGCCCCGTTATTGAAATTTATCTCAATTTACCCTTTATAAATAATTCATAAAGACTCACCGAGCATCTCTTTCATAATTTCTTCATCCGTCGCCATTTCTGAAATTAAAAAAAAAAAAGAAACCACCTCTTCGATTTTTCCACAATATCTGACTTTTTTATTTTCACTTTATTAAACAAAGGTAAACTTTGCAAAATTATCTTCGGATAATTATTCACAATTACTTTGAAAGCATCATTCACGGTTGCCAACAAAAAACAGGGATGTTTATGTCACACTGATTGCATAAATAAATAGAAAATAATAGAGTTTGTGATGATGCAATCCCGAACATGTCATAGATTTATGTATTTGAAAACTTATCTTAAAATAATATTTAAAAAGAAGATGAGGAAGTAAATAATCAAACTGCAAAAAAGTCTGAACTGATGTGTCATCGCAATTTTAAAAACATCTCTAAACGAAAGGAAACATTATTGTCGCCCTAATTGTTTTCGTTCTCCGTTTCATTAGTCAATGAAAAATTTAATTTCCTTTTACATTGTTTTTTTTAAGGATGTGTTTCTTTTATTTATTGTTTATATATGTGGATTTATTTATATTTACATCGACTTCGTTAATCAATCTTATCAAATAATATGGGTTAACGTGGCATCTTATAGTATTTATCACTCAGAAGTTATTTATCCAAAAAAAGCAATCACCTATCAGTGCCTATGTACGGAACGCTATAACAAATACAACGGTACAGATCTACAGTATTCGCTTTTTACTTGAAGAACCGCACACCTTGCATTTCTTTTTAAAAAATATATGGCAACGTACGCATTAAAAGAAAACGCTTGATCAAGAAAACACTAATAGAAATTTGTATCAAAGTGATATCATTAGATACACTTTATTTTTGTGGGTAACGAATCTTATATCTATAAAATTTGTACGGTAAACTTACTTTTATTTCGCAATAATTGAAAAGTCTTCGATTTATAGGTTTATAAGTTTTAATGCCATTTAATAGCTTCTACGGAAAATATATAAAACAAGTAAAACTCGGCATTGATATCATTGATTGTGAAGTAGTGAGTAAAAAAAAGAAATGAAATCGTTTTAAAAATGTGAATTAATATGAAAATACATAAACAATTAATGAGCACAAAATAGAAAATTGTTAGAAAACCTTTTGAACCTCAAAAATTTTGCGATACGATTGTGAGAACGCGGTTTATAAGGGGAAACTGAACCCTTCAATACGTAACACAATGCCTGTTAAAAATGGTGAATCTGACGCAGAAGGTGATGTGTCCGCGGCTGAAACCGAGCGTAGCAATTCCAGTCAGCCTCATGAGTCGAGCGATGAAGAAGCCAATGAAATTGATTCCGACGATTCGTCGGAAATGGATGCTAACGAGATTGAAAGAAGACGCAATGAATGTTTAGAAAATTTAGGTAAAAAAGCTGTACTATCAGAATCTAATATAACTGCAAAATTTTCTCCTTTTTTTGTTTGCTTGATTCATAATGCAGCTCATTTGGAACGACAATTCAGCCAATTACGGGAACAGTACTATTTCGAGCGTATAAATCAAATTGAACGTCAACTGGTCGACGTCCGCAATGGCCGCTCTGAAGAATACTTACAGCCTCTAAAAGAATTAGACAAAGTCTATCGCAATCGCATAGAAGTAGCTGAGATACTAAGACGTTATCGCCTAGAGAATATTGAGCATAAATTTGTTAGTGAAGAACAGGCTGCTCAACAAAATTTTGAGGTTTGGTAGCTAAAATCCTCCAACAATCAAAATATAGAATTTCGTTTTGTCTTTAGAGTGAAAAACAGTTAGCATTGGATCAGATCTACGACGATTTAATGGAGAAAATACGTCGGTTGGAAGAAGATCGTCACAATGTTGACATATCGTGGGACGATTGGGGTACGGATAAACGTCATAGTAAAGTACGGGGGCCAGCGCGTAAAAAAGCGGTTACCGTTTCAGGCCCTTATATTGTATATATGCTGTATGAAGAAGATATACTGGAAGACTGGACCACAATTCGTAAAGCATTGAAACGTTCGACATTGGTTGGCAGTGCTGTTTCCGTTTCGAACACTTGACTGTAAACTGTATAAATTTATTCAAGACAGTTCGTGTGATTTAAACCTTCTTCATACCTTTTCTTTTTTGCTTATAGTTTTTAAGTTAAATGTTAATAAATTGTATTCCCTTCTTTTATTTTCCAATGGCAATATTAAAAAAACTAATCTTAAGGAAAAAGAGAATAAAGCTTTTAATAACCTTTTGACTTCAAATATTCTCTTATTATATCGACATAATCGCCATGGATTTGCACTTGACCGCTCATTTCGTTTACGCGAGTAGCGCATACCCGGCCGTTCCGCGCTTTTTCTACTAATTCCCGGATTTCACGTTCTAATTCCCAAAGATTGCCTTGTATACGTCTTACAACTGTTACTCTTCTTTGGCCCCGGAATGTTTGCTTTAAGTAGACGGGTAGCATATAGTTTTTTGTACGTGCTACATAGTATTTGAATTGATCGATGTTACGCAAATCCACCGTTGGCGGTTTCCAACCTGAGTGATACTCAGCTTTTTGTAATGGTTTTGGTATCACTTCTTTGGGTAACAAACGCTCAACATATTTCCATTCCGGGGGATTTTTAACTATTTCAACTTCGGGATATTTTTGCAATGGCTGGACTTCTTTCGAGGACAGATAACTTGAATAACGTAGCTGCATAATATTTACGTAATTTATTCTCTGCTAATCGGAAATATTTTACATTAGTTTACCTTAGATGATTGAAGGATTAAATTACGTAGAAATCTTGGAGCTAAAGCCATATTGTTATGATAGCAACTTCAATATTATTAATACTGAAAAGAAACTTTTATAAGAAAAAAAAGAAGAGTACAGTTGCAATTTATTTGTATTTCACAGGGTGCTTCTTGTGGAAATATAAACCACACACGGCACCAGTTTTAGAAAATGAGTAGTTTTTTAACAGGGCTGTCTGATAACTAATCAGCTCCATTGTGTTACTACTAATCGTGCAAAATTTTCTAATAAGTAAATTTTTAAAGATGTCAGTTGTGAATTCTTTTTATCATTCTTTAAATATTAGACGATTTAATAACATTTAGACGAATCGCTTCAAAATAATAATAATACATCAAGTTGGATTATTTTGTTTTATTAACGCAATTCGTTGTAAAATTTTCTTTGCTCTTTGATTACTTGCCAGCATCATAGTATCGATTTGTTTTAACGCTTACCGGCATCATAGTATGGATAGTAATATAGTAATCGAAATTTGTCGACTTTGCACCCAAGAAATCTAAGAAAATTTAAGCTTACTTGAATGAGTAATAAGTATTAAATATATTTTCATAATAAATGTTTTTTGTTTTAGAGCTACGTAACATCGCGAGAGATAGTGAAAACCCCATTAAATTAAAATATTTTACAAGCATTTCATGCTCATTCTTTATTTACGTTAAGACAATTGAAGAAATAATATCATCTAAGATTTATGTTAAATTTTTCAACAGCAACAATACCTATAAGCTAAAATTCATTGAAGTATTAAATGTTGTTGCTAAGGCTATTAAAAGCAATATACCTGTAAAGAAGAGAGTGTGCAGTCCTCGAGGGGCCTTCTCGATAGGGAAGATCTATTCTCAATACAATTAATTTGTATTGAATCCTTCAAGTCCTCGCAAGCTTACAACGTAATCAGCATTCTGTTTCTAACTTTCAATTTTAAAAATAAAATGTTATTCTTCGAATGATATATAACTTGAATTTCTTTAATGAAGTAATAAACAATTTAAGACTATTTATACGTCATGACTTTGCTTGATAAGATTCTCTTCTTAAAAATATACTGTTTCATTTCAACTCATGCTAATGATGGAGACAAGCAGTCACAATAGGAATTCTTCTCACTAAAAAAGTACGGAGATTTAAAATGCAATACGCTTAGAATAAAATATATTTGGGAACATTTTGGAACGTAGATGCTGATACCAACATAAATATACGAAACATTCGAAATTGAAACATATATGAGTATGACAAGTGTGATAAATATTTCAAAAATGTACAAGAGTGGCAAGGTTGATACACGAATGTTGTAAGCAATAGCTGACTTTAATTATTCACTTTATTAGCTATATAAATAAAAAAATAGAAATTTGTATGCTTATCCGATCAATGTATTGTGAAGACGTCTCCAAATTCAACTAAATCAGCTTGCAAAGAATGAAAAAGTCTGAAAATTAAAAATCTAGCTTAATTATTTAGTCAATAATTCTCTTCCCATATATAAGTGAATGTACTATGTTTTTTGTCGTAAACAAGTATTGGGCAGTATAGCGGGCGCTTTGAAGGGCTCACAAGGAGTTCCACTCATTCAGTTCATATTCAAAAACAATTAGACTCACACTAGTAAGCGCCATCCTTTCCAATTAGATGTAATATTCGGCGATAAACCAGGTCAGATCAGGAATCGCCCTTGCGGGCAAATACGTACAGCATGTTTCACCATAGCCGTCATGCGATTTCTTCAAAAATGCGGTGGTAGCTTTTAATGCCGCTCCAAAACAAATTATCCAAATTTTTTCAAAATTTTTAATGCTTATTTGTTTCATATTTGAATGTAGTTTTTTATATTACTAGATTTACTTTGTAATTTCTATTTAAATAATTACTTATAATATTAATAATGTACTTATTGCAAAAATAATTTTTAAATATATTCCTGGAAAATTATTCAATATAAAAGTGTGAGAAGCTAAAACTAAAAAATGTCCTAAAAGTTAAAAAGAAAACGCACAATATCCTTAACTGAATTTTTAGTACCCGTTGAAATCTCTCGAAAAGGGCAAAATTAGGCGTAACAGACACACACACGCGCGCGCGCACATTCAAAGAATAAGAAAAATTATAGGTAAATTTTTGTTCTTTTCTCCATTTTGGAGAAAAGAACGTGTCATTCAATTTAAGAGAACACTTTTCTCTGTTTTTTGCTTTTTTTGATAAAGAATTGTAGAAGGGTGTGAAGTTATATTTAAATTTAACTAGCAAAGACACAAACCAAAAAGAATGTTAACAGAGCTCTGTTAAGCAGTTAACAAAGCTTTGTTAAATGAAGTCTCGGAGATATTTAAAGCAAAATTTAGTTAGAACAAATTTTCAAACTGTCATAAAAAATTTTTCCCAAGGAATCTTTATAAATGTGATATACCGTTGGAATGGCCATTGATCAAGGATTCACGTGATATTAGTTTCTTTTGTTCGCAGCACTTGGTTTGGTCATAGTGGTTAAGTAAATTTTCACTTTTTCAGCCTTGTATTTCATATAGTAAAAAGACCTTTTTATACTAGATTTTAATTAATTAAGATAAAGTGGTATTTTTGTCATAATATTAAAAAAAAAAATCCTGAAAAAGTCCTATTTTAACTAAATTTTGCTTTAAATATCTCCGAGACTTCATTTAACAAGCTCTGTTAACTGCTTAACAGAGCTCTGTTCCCATTTTTTGGTTTGCGTCTTTGCTAGTTAAATTTAAATATAACTTCACACTCTTGAATTGTAGGGTCAAGTATATTTCGACCCGGTTTTATGTGAGTGAGATCAAATCAAAGATTTTGTAAACATGCAACAGAATAAAGCCATTTCTGTTAGATTTTGAAAACGATTGATTGATTTAAAACCTGACAAAATTGCAATTAGAAAATGTATGACCTTAACGCACTTATAGTTATGAGAATATAAATGAAGAATAGCATTACACAGCTACAAAATTTTTTAAAAACTCTCTTCTGGTTCATCCTCGTTGTATTGAAAACCTAAAAACAACGAGCACCACTTTCGATGTTTAGCACCTAAAAGTCTTTCCGATCGCTTAACTGCTGCCAAGAATTCGTAAGCATCGTAACTGAATTGACGAAATTCTTGATTAAATTGTTCTTGTCGTTTAGGTGAAGTTGGAGGGGAATATTTCCCTTGTAAGTGACCGCTGAGCAGGCAGACATCTTGCTCGATAATAAACTTCAGGCAGACTCGACGATGCAATTCAAACGATTCGCGTTCCCCGTACATGTTTTTCTGATCATCGCATAAACGCATATCATGTGCAGCAAGATTACAACAATACAAAAAAGAGTTAAGGCGATCCTCACCCACTGCTGTATTATCGATACCCGGCAGCATCACTTGCAATATTTCCGACGGTGTATGAACATCAGCTACCAGATAATAAGCGAGCAATTCTTTCAAATCAGACAAGTGATATAAATCATTCGTATCATAATAACAGTTGCGGTAAGCGTATAAGATTACCAATTGACGATAATGATAGCTACTGTAGTCACTAATATGTTTGCGCATAAACTTTTCCGAACGTATTATTTCCGAAGATAATAAGCTGGGAGCGTTCTGAAGTATCCATTGACGATGAGACCAGGCATGATAATTGCTAGCACTGCGATCAGCACAACGTTCACAAATGCCAATTTCCAGATGCCAATCAATCGATTCCACACCTACGAAAAGTAACACTATTTCATTTTTTCATTCTCCTTAGTAGGCAACGGCACTCACTTTGAAATGAGAATAACCATCGACGATAGGCGAAAGCTTCACTTGATTTCGGTTTTTTACTTAACACTAAAACTGAGAACTTTAATTCACGATTCATTTTCAGGCGAGTTTTTTGCACTAATTGACGTCTTAGATGCCAGAAAGTAGTGACATCAGGATTAATTAGTAAAGCTACATTCAGGTACTTAAGTAGCACATCGTTCTCTTGCAAATAACGCTGATGTTGCTGTGCCGATTTTTTTATATTCATTAACATATTGTGCGCATGATCATAAACATGTTTCGCACACCACGATTCTAAACCCAAATTATGTTCAACGTGTATAACTGGCGATTTATTGCGATTCAACATTGTCGGGATTATTTCAAAAGAAGACCTATAAAAGAGAAAAAGGGAAGTTGCGTGTAACATACGGCATTGTGAAGTGATAATGATGTTGATCAGGTGATATGTGTACAGTGTAAAACTCTTTTCTGTTTTGCGATATCATTTTATCAAGTTCATGGCGTTTCAATATATTGGTTGGTTTATTCTCTTTCAAATCCCAATTGAAATTGTTAAGTGCAACTTTTTTACATCGTTTTAAATAATTCAGGATGAGGGAAAGTATTGCGAAGAAAATTATACAAAAAAATTTCAATTTATTTAGTGCAGAAAAATATTTTATATAGAAATTTAAATAAACATAAGAAAATATATATATAAAATGATATCGGGAGGGAAGTGAGACTAAGTTTTTACAAAGAAAACCTACAGAAAAAACATTCTCTTAATACCGGAAATAATCCCTAAAGAGGCATAAATTGTTATTTAAAGTATTTTTGCAAAATTACTTCCACAGTCTTTCTAATAAAATGATCAAATATATTCCAATAAGGAGTGCTGAGGAGTTACTGAGGGATATTTCATTCCCTTTAATGACATTAAGATATGGTTCCAATTTGAAATATCCTGCAATATATCAAATTAGCAGAGTAATGTCTAAAAAAAATGAGTAGATATCCATCCGTCTTTTAAAAGTAATACCTTTTTTTCAGCTAAAAAAGTTCCGGCTCCGATGCGTGTCTGTTTTTGTTTAAAAACCCTGGTTAATTTATTTTTCGCGAATGGGGTCATTTTATATACTCCTAATGTAGCTTGCGCTCAACTCAAAATAAACTTCAATGTCAAAATAAAGAATATTCAAAAAAGTTGAAATATTTTTCACTTAACTGAAATGTAAAACTCCAGTCGCCGAAAAGAGCCTTGTTTATTCGCCGCGATTCTATACGAAAACAAAGAACCTTCATCTAAGCTAATAATGCATCAGTAATCTACTCGAGACGGAAAATCTCGTTTGTCAGAAAGCAGAGTAGAATAAATTTTTATTCAATTTGGTTGACGGTTATGAGCAAAAGCGAAATTCAAAAGTGTCTGCAGAAGTTTTGGGAGTTAACACAAAAATAAAGAGCGCAAAATTTTAACTGCATATATAAGTCCCTGTTACTAAAGTAAATATAAATTTTAGCTATACTTACACAGCAGAATCCTTGATAAAGACAGCGTGCAAATCATTTATAATTTTCTCGCATAAGACCTCTTGTTCATTATCAGTATCATTATCCATGATTTTACTAAATTTGTTAATACCGTACTTAACAACTTAATAGGAACTATAAGAGACGCGCATTCGTGAGCTACAACGATCTTTGGTCCAATTAATTGGTTTTATATCTTCTTTAATTTTCTAAAATTAAAACACAAAATTTGATACTAAAATAAAAAGAAATAAAAAACTATCATATTTCAATTATAATAAAAACAACAATTAATCACATGCTGTTGTTATATTTTGAGTGTTTGAGAAAAGTTGCAACGTAAAAGTGCGTATATATGGTTTGAAGGAAAACACAAAAGTAATATAAAATCTTTTTTCTAAGAGTAGCGGCAATGCACATGTCGTCGAGGAGAAAATAATGTATGCTCTCACGCGCACTTGAAGGCACTTAAATTGGCCCTAGAAGGGCTTGTGAATTGTATACTTTACTATAAATAAAGTTACTTTTTTCTTAACCCTTTGGCGAAAAGTGCTATTAATTAATTAATTTTATTTGTTCTTCACTGATATATTTGTTTGAAGGCGTTTTAGATGAAATTGGAGTAATAGTCTATACTTTAATGTTTATCTTTGAATTCACCTGATACTGATTGATTCATATTGTGTACACTCTCCTTCACTTGAGGCACATAGGCGACTTCTAACTAAACCAAAATATAATTAGAAACACTTGTAACTTCACACCAAAATAAAAATCAATAAAAATTCGCAAATAGAGTTTAAATTGGTGGCAATATTAACGTTTCGATTATGGAAATAAATGCGTTTAGTTAATTTATAGAATTAAAACGAAGATTCTATGAAACATTTTAATCATTTTCAATTGATTTTAATTAACCCAGAGTAGAGCACACAAAATAAATTGAACAAATAAGAAGAATCAAGTGACAAACGACATTACCAACATTAAAAGCTAACATATGTAAACAACAAAATGTTACCAGTCAGAAAAATGTGAAATATTAATTTTTAACATATTTTTTATTTTTGATTGTTGATTGAAATGATTTCTACGCTATGATTTAGCTAAAATTTCCGAAAATATTTGAAATAAGAGGAAACTTTTTAATTGATAACAAAACGGTGAACACAATATTTCTTCTTGTCTATCTTTCATTTAAAGAGCCTATGCTCATTTGTGCTTGTCGCCCGAAAGGGCAGCAGCTGACTTCTCTTTCGTATTGAATGAATTTCAGTGTTTACAAATTTTATACTTTTAGTTTAACGTAGAGAGGTATATAAATTTTTGGAAGATTCGTTAAATAAAATTGAAAATAATATTTAAAATATGGCTACAAAAGTAGTAGCTACAGCTACCGTAAAAGCATTGAAAGGCCGTAAATTTACACCAACCAAAGCAGCTCTAACATTAGTAAGTGCAATTAAACCGTCAGATGAAAAAAATTGTATAATGAAAACGCAATTTATTTTTTAAGACTCCAGCTGCGGTACAACGCATTAAAGATTTACTCAAAGGACAAACTGAATTTGTGAGACAACTTTTTAAAAACGTTAAAATATAGTTTAATTTTGACTATTCTTTGTTTAGACAGGTCTGAAAGTTGGTGTACGACAGCGTGGTTGCAATGGTTTATCTTACACCTTGAATTATGCCAAAGAGAAAGGTTAGTCAGATTGCTTTTATAATTCCATCGAAATGATTAACTTTGGTAAGATTGTGTTAACAGATAAACTTGATGAAGAAGTTATACAAGACGGTGTAAAAGTCTTTATCGACAAAAAGGCACAATTATCTTTGATAGGTATGCTTGGGTTTCGCGTCATTATATAACTTGTGACGTACAACTCAACTATAGTAAGTAAAGCGCATTATATTTATTTTGTGCACTCTTTCTTCTTAGGAACCGAAATGGACTTTGTGGAAACCAAACTCTCCAGCGAATTTGTATTCCATAATCCCAATATAAAGGGTACATGCGGTTGTGGAGAATCATTTAATATTTAATTGCGTAATACGAACAATTTTGAATATAGTTAAGCTTCAATGGATGAAGATAACCTCCTAAAAAAAATTTCAAAGCGAAGTTTCGCTTAAATAGTACATAGTTCACATACTTCTTGTTCTCGTTCAATAAGAAGAACCCACGTAATTCTTAAGGGTTCGTTATGCTAGGCCTCTGCTTAAGTCAATATTGTTTTTAGTTTAAAACTTTTAGTTTAGTTTAGCGAAATTTTGCGGAAATAAACAAAACGTGCATAATAAAAGTGTATTGAAACACTAAAAATGTATTATTTTTCATTACAAGCCGAGTAACCATTTTCTTCGTACTCTTCTCTTTTAAGTAAAATGTCTTTAAAACCATCACTCAAAGCTAATTCCTTGCCACCATACCAACCATAAGCAATCGGATCTTCAGGAAAAATTATGGAAACCTCCAAGTCGTCTGCAGCTAAGGCTCTAATTTCGGCTTTTAGACGTGGTATAAATCCAGCGAATAGTGAACTGCCCCCTATCACCAAAATATTGCGCAGTAACTCATGATGAGTATAGACGGGACATTCTTTAAGAGCATCTATAACAGCCTCTGGTATACCCACTTGTTTTATACCTACATCAGTGGGATGAAAAAGTAATTCAGGCACCGTAAATCGTTCATTACATAGTCTCAGCGATTGTTGATCACTATCATCCACTAGACAATTATGTGTGGCGTCTCTTTTCCGAACATAACCACGTTTTACCGACGTGAAATCTGGTAACACGTATTCCATTATAATCTCGTCGCGTTTCCTCTTATCTGTATGGCAAAGCATTTCGTTGGCAAAGTTTTCTGATACAAAGCACACATCTTCTTTGATTTGATTAACTACATATGATTCATCCATTACATTTAAATGCCGATACGAAATCAGTTCCTTCAAATGATTTGTAAGAACTTTACCACCCACATCTATTCGTCGTATACCTTTCAACAATTTTTTGCCACACACAAAAGGCACGATGTGAGTAAAGCTGTAACCTACATCGACTACGAGGCAATTTAGAGATTGCAAAGGCGTTTCTTCGCTATCGGTACAATAGTTAAATGCGGCTAAGTCCGCTGTTGTGCTTTTATGTATACCAGAACAATGATACTCTTCAAAGATTATCTCCACCATAGCTTCCTGTATGCTTGGAAAGTTTAACTGCGGTTCAGTAACCAGAACATTGCGGTCCTCTAAAGAAATACCTGAGCCTTCACTACTAAATATATAATCCCACACAGTTTTCTGTATGTCCCAATTGAGTAAGTAGCCTTTCTGGAAGCAGAGAATATAGAACAAGCCTGACGCATCACGACATTCATCGATTTGACTGCCTATGAATGCACGCCGTCGTTCAGCCTTAGCTTTCATTATACAATTCGGCATGATCTGCGGATCATCGTGACAGGATAAACCAAGCTTAGCGGTATATGCACCATTATCTATAACCACCGCTGCTGTATCTTCACACATTAAAAACAACAGAGACGATAAGAAGAAACTTTCCCACTTCCCAGTTTTGCAACGTGCTACGCAAACACTAAGTTACTTGGCCTCAATAATTTTGAAATAAAATTTATGAAACCACGACTTGTTGATAATCTTCAATATGTTATATTCAGCACGAACGCTTCTTCTTAGTTCTTAATAACAGACTTGCTATTTATCGCTGGCTTGATGCTTAAAAATCGTTTATTCAGCATATGCTACTAACTGTCAGCGAACAGCTGTTCAACAGTTGGTTTGTTCAAAAATTTTACGTAATAAACAGTAACTAGGGAAAATAATTTAGTTTTTCGCTAAATAATGTCGTTGATACGTCCGGCATTCCAAACGAGCAAGTATATACAACCATGGTAAAACATATTTCTTGCGAAAATTTTATAGAATAATAAGATGTCCTTAAATACGTAGGGCTTCGTTATTGCTGATGTCTCGGAAGAAGTCTATTGATACTAAAGAGGCTCCTATCCTAGACGTCAAAACTGCCCTAGCTGAACCAAAAGAGTTGGAAGAGAGGTCCAAATTAATGGGTCATATTACGGTACCAGTCAAAGTGGATATCAGTCCTATTACTGGTGTACCTGAAGAACATGTAAAAACGCGTCGAGTGCGTATATATATACCGCCGAAAAATGCTATGCAAAGTGGTACGGACAATGTAAACCAGTGGCAAATAGATTTCGATAGCCGAGAACGTTGGGAGAATCCCTTAATGGGTTGGTGCTCCACGTAAGTGCTTTAACATTACCATTAAGTCGAAATATACTATTGTTTTTTTATCCAGTGGTGATCCCTTGTCCAACATGTATGTTAATTTCAATACACCGGAAGAGGCAATTACATTTTGTGAAAGAAATGGATGGCATTGGTTCATCGATGGGGAGGAAAAGCAGAAAAAAGAGCGTGTTAAAAATTATGGTGTTAATTTTTCTTGGAACAGGCGTACGCGGGTATCTACCAAGTAAAAACTTGGAATGAAAAGTATATGTGCAAAAGAAGAAATGGCATTGTATTATTCTATAATCCGGCACATATAAAATATTCGAGACTAATAATGAAATAAATGTATAAAACTATTGTTAGCCGTGAAATTTTTTGCTTTATTTTTTTCATTTCCTATGTGTCTTTTTATAGTAATCCCTTTGTTGTCCTGGCTGGCTTCTGTTTTTCTTGTAATATATTCTTTCATCTATTGAACTTGATCTTCGACTGCTTTTTCTTTTGTGAAATTTTTCGATGCTTTTACTACGGGATTTTGATTTGCGGGGTGACCACTTATATTCCCGGGAGGAACGTCGGTAATACTGATCTTTACTTCCTCTCTTGTTACCCTCTGACACACCACTTCCCACTCTTTCACTTCTTTTGGACATCTTTTCACATCTATTACTTCGTTTTCCGTCTTTCGTTTTCTCGTCACATTCTCGAATTGTGCTCTTGCAAACTCCTTTTTCTTCTTTCTGGCTTTTTCCGTTCGCTTGTGATTCTCGGTTGTCGTATCTATAGTTTCTTTGCCTCAAGTATTGTCGTAAGGCCTGCATTTGCAAATCCAGTAAGGCTCTTACTTCCTCTGTATGAGTGGGCTTGCTGGTACGATATCGACGCTTTTTACGTTTCTCTCTACGCTTCACAGCAACAATTTCGGCAAAAGAAACTTCGTTGTGGTTTCTGTAAAACAAATGTTTTAGAAAGTTTCTCACAATTGGAATACTTCTACCTTTTAATGGTTACAATTTCATCTATTTTAAACGTGTTTTCTATAGTATGTTCATATATTTTTAATTTTTCCTCCCGTGTAAAATTAAGTTGTAATTCGGCGAAATTTCGTGGTGCCTCTACTTTATAATTCTTTAACAGTCCTTGTAATTGAGAGGTGTCTAGTTTAAAGCAAACTTTCCTTAATAAAAATTGATGTCATGTTTGCAGGGAAACTTACGTAGATTTAGAGAATTTTTCCATCCGTAGCTTTCCGGGAAAGTGGATATTTGTGGATTTTTTATTGTTTTGCATTTAATCTCAACCTGCGGATTGGTATTAAAGCTCTATAATATAATTTTAAAATTGCTATAATTATCTGAGGCGTACAGAAAAATGTAATTTTTTTGAAATCAGAAAATAACATATATTATGTTATATTTCTATTTACCCTTAATATATCAGCTTCAGACCAATTCAATTTCTCAAGTAAACTTTGCAATCTTTTCTTATTTATTTGCATCAAATCGACTACATTATTAAGGGGATGGACATTTAAGCAATTTTCCATGATTTTTAGGCTATTATATCTGATCCAAAAAATATTTCTCACTAAATGTTTGCGAAAACCGGCAAAGTCAGGTGTCCATTACGAGAATACCAATATGAAAGACGACTTCTCTTCATAGTATCTGGTCGTCAGCAATGTAATGAAAAGTAAACCTAGTTTGTAGAGTAATTGTTGCAACGCAGTTATGCATAGAATATGCAATATAATCCAAAATGAAACAATTCAAAGGAAGTTTGTTTTCATTATCATTATTCGTTAATTTTTTTTCAATTACAGACACAGTAGATAGGTTAATTAAGTTTTGGCTATTTGTGCCACCTTACGTACTATTCCGTTTCAAAATTGACAGTCGCAAAAATTCCTAAAATTTTGCTAAATACAATTTTTAGTAATTTTTATTGTAAAACATTGATTAAAACTAGAAATTTGTATTATATAATAATTTTTACAAAATGAGACAATTATTAAAAAGTGCATAGATCGATCTCGAAAATGGACCGAAATGCTACTAATATGCGCTACAAAATATGCCTCGATTCAATGTGGAGATAAACATTCTCTCCTTTGCAATTTTAATAGCAGACAATTACATTAATAACGGAAACAATAAAAGTAAAGAAAGGACGTCTCAGTTTGCCGATTATTTTGTGCTCTAGAGATGTTGTGCTTTTTTTTTAGTACATGCAGAATGCTTTCTGTTGTTACTTTTCCTTGAGTCCTTGAGTTGTGCTTTTCGAGCATGTGCTAAAAATGATGCATTTTACATTAATTTTCATATTTGTATGTTGCAACATTGGTACAGCGTTGTTTTAAAAATGTAATATCTCGTACCCATTTTTGGTTTAGATATTGCATCGTTGTAAAATGCCGTAAATCTTTCCCAAAATTTGTATATGATGTAAAATGTAAAATTATCTGTGTTTACAAATTTGTTACATTATATGTTTTGTTTTCATAACGAAACAAAATGATTTTTAGGCAAAATTCCAAAGAAAAACCGATCATATACTTGATGTTAAAAGCAAAATAATTAAAATTATAATAAGAAAGTTAGAGCTGGAAAGTGTTAAGAGAAAAATTAAAGTTAAGTTCTTTATTAGGCAAAAATTCAATATATAATTTAAATGTTAAGAAGGTAATGATCGAAAAATGGAGTTTCGAAAGCGAGCACGCCTGGAAGTAATAAATAATACTCAAGTCCATAACGACAACAATAATGCCTTAAGCGCTACTGACGACATCAGCACTACTTTGGCTGCCATTGGGGGACAAAGGTTATTAAATTTAACAAAATACGTATTAAATTGTCCGTTTAAAAAAAGGGTTTTGATATCTTCTATACAATTTTAGTTATTTGTTTAACAGCAGCTCAAACACTACGGCCACAACAACGACAACCATACCAGCAAACATTTTGCTAACCATATGTGATGAAAACTCGGATGAATCTCAAGAGTACTTAATTGATAGTTCTTTATTGGCGCACATTAAACAAGAGCATACTGTGGCTACGCAAACTTCTCCACCACCACCAGTAGTTTCGCAGCAATCATTATTAACAACTTTACAGCCACAATGCCGTTTTTTAACTCAGACTCACAATAATAATAATAATCACAAAACTATTAATAATACTTCTTCTTCTATGCTACTTAACACATCTATGAACTCCGTGCCAGCAGCTAACTTAATAACAAATGCTGTGCAATTGCCTACGGGCTGTGAAATATATTTGGTCAAAGAATATATAGACTCAACCGCCAATACGACAACAACTTCTACAATTAATCAAAATTCAGAAACTACCACAATTAAAATAGAACCGGATTCTCGAATAATTCAAACTTCGCCCGTTGGCAATGGCTTGCAATTAATGCGCCAAACAAATACTACTGCAACTGTAGCAAATAGAGCGCAAGGCATCAACTATATTTCTGTAACGAGTAACTCCTCCGCATCCAATACGACATCACACGAAGATCCCACAAAGCGAGGTTTCATATTGGAAGCTTATAAGAAACGCGATGACAAGCGCCGGGCTACACATAATGAAGTTGAACGTCGCAGGCGTGATAAAATAAACAGTTGGATATTTAAACTAAAGGAAATGTTACCAACAGATATTAGAGGTATTAAAGAAACACAGCTAAAAACAAATAATGGCAACAACAACAATGCGACTAGATTATTAATGCAACAGCAACAGATTCGACAGCAAACGCCACAAACAACAACACGTACACCGCCGAGTGATTCAAAATCTCAAATACTAATAAAGGCCTGTGAATACATTAAAGCTATGCAGGAGGAAATTAAAAGGTAGATGACAGTTGTAAGAGGCATATTAAATATTTTAATTAAAATAATGGTATACATATATTTTCAGCCTGCAAAAGTGCCTTGCCGAAAATGAGACGTTGCGTTTGAGCAACCAACGTCTACAAGATGAATTGGAGCATTTGCGTAGCAATCAATTTAATAATAATAGTAGTACCAATGTTCAGTTAACAGCAGGGATTGTAGTAAATGGCGGTGATCGAGCTGAAAAATGTGTTTCTGCTGCTTCGGTATCGCATACAAACGTTGCAAATTTGTTAGATCATACAATAACAACAGCACCGGCCTTAACAACTTATGCTGACCAAGATTTAATAGTTAGAGAGTACAATGATTAGGAAAAGGGAAAAAGACAGAAGACAGTAAGTTAAACAAACAAGTAATTTCAAAAGCATGAATTAAACGAGAAATTTAATATTACGTAGTGAAATCTTTTAGACATATATTACTCTTTATATTATTTTTATACTCATTACTGGAGGACGGAATTACTAACGTTTTAATTTTATTTGAAATTTTCATAAGACATCCTATAATTTGTGTATACATTCTTGACCGATTGAATAATCTTGGTCGATTGTTTCCGTCCGTTCGTTGCTGTTACCTATTGTTCAAATTCTTAAACCCGAACAAATTGATTTAACAGAAGCTTTACAAACATTTTCTCCCTTGAATTAAGTTTAAGAATGGCTAACATCCGCCCCTCAAATAGGCGTATAACACAAACATAGTACAGCTTCAATGCTCAGCTCATCAATAATGCAACCTGGCAGACATCTATCTGAAACGAGAGCCCTCGAAACTTTTTGCGTGATCAGCCCACAACTAGCAATAAAAAGAAAAAAAATGCGAATGGAATTATATAAGATTTGTATTAGGGCGAATGGAATGATTTTATTTATCATCACTTTCTTTTAATTCATGCTCAGATAGTGACAAAATACCTCGATTTTTATATAAGTAGTTTTAGTGTTTTTTATTTTTTTCTTAATTGTTGAATATTTCGTAGTTTATTATTATAATTTTTGCGTAAGACTTTTTTTTTATACTTTTGTTAAAGTAATTAATGCAACATTTGAATTGTTATTTATTAAAAAAAAAAAAGTGCATCAAATGTGACATGACATCGGAATTCATTAAATAAAAAATCATTACATATATAATAAAAAAAAGTTGTTAACATAAATTTGCCTCAATTAATATTTATAAATTTTAAGGCATTGTATTATTATTGTTTATAAAATTATAAAATATATACACAAGACAATGTATATTAGTATTATATATACATAAAAAAGTTCTTATATTACACTCTTATTCTCTCTCTCTCTCTCTCTCTCTCTCTCTCTTTCTTTCTTTCTTTCTTTCTTTCTCTCTATCTATCTACGTTTCTTTCTTTCACCCTGTCTAGCTCGGCTAAGTAATATTTATAATGTACACTTTAATGCATTAATTAAAAATTATAGTGCTTCCCTCATAAAACAGTTTAAAAGATAACGAACGATAACCAAAAATTAAATTTAACTAGAAAACGAAAAGTAAATGAGAACAAGTGGACTTTGGATAAAGTTAGTGTACTCCACCATATATTTGTAGATGGTTTTCGTCTCTTTCTCAAAAGATAATGTTTTATATGTGAGAACCACCACAAACAGCCAGAATATACGGGCCATTGACGGGCGATTATTCTCACATAAAAACACTTCTGAATTTTATTCGGAACAAGTTTACGTAAATGAGACGTTTCCGTATAGGTGGATTTATATTAGATACCCTAAACACGATTGAGCTCTCAGGGGATTAAAATTCATCTTGTCATTCATTGGATTCTTACAAACATACAATGACTTCTTTGACTAACCAACTAACTAACTAACTAACTCTAATGGTATCTCTGCGGTTAAGCTCAACAGCTCAATACAGTTTTGAACACATAGTATAAGTATATTTGTAAAGGTTTCTATATCCGATTGAACCTTTTGTCGACATTACGCAATCTACGAGAAAAAAAAAAACTATTTCTTCTATAATACATTAAAATTTCCTATACTTTATAAAATTATTTGAGATAAGAAAAAAACAAAAAAAAAATGTGTATTGAAACAAATTTAGTATAATTTCAAAAATAAACTTAAAAAACAAAGAAATTTCAAAACAAGTAATGTTGAAAAAAAATCACATGTTAACAGAGGCATGAAAACGCAATTGTTATTGTAGAAGTTTTAAACGAAATAATTTTTTTTTTTTTTAACATGAAATAACAGTTAATAAAAATAAAGCCAATAGTAATAAGAGAAAATAAATAAAGTGAAACCATATTAAAAAACCATTATATACAAATACTGATTGTTATACATTTTATAAATAAAAATTTCAAAAAAAAAGAGTTGGTTTTGTAAACTGGTTTGGAAAGTTGAATCAGAAAAAAAAATTTTTTTGCAAAATTTTAATATTGAGAAAAAAATAAATAAATAAAGTAAAATAAAATAAACAAATAAAAACCGTTGGAAATAAATTTAAATTTTAAAAAATTCAATTTGAAAGTTAACATTAAAAAATTAATAATTAAATCAAATATCGTTTAACGCAAAATAAAATTATATATAAATCTCAAAAAAGATAAATATTTTAACTTTTGAAATAATAATACCACTTAAAAAAATAAAATAGAAACCTTTTTGCAATATTAAAGTATATAACATATTATGTAACTTTAAAAAGTAACGATGTAATGTTAAAAAGTATATTACATAATATTGAACAAAGTATGTAATATTTAAAATGATTATAAAAAATTTAAAAATCAGTTGAATAAATTTTAAAGTTAAATAAACAAAATTCACAGACTCTGCAATGAATTTTCAGACCAGGTGTTTTCGAAATTGGTTCTTAAATCGTATCGACGTTGATCGTTCGATTCTAGCCGCATAAGCCTTCAAACTCATTAATTAATTCGATTTTATTTACTTTTTCAAACAAATTGTAGGAACACAATTTTTCGAAATTTCGCAAAAAATCGCATTATAAGGAATCACGAAGGGAAGTCCGCGAATTTTAATATACTGCAAATTGCTTCTAATCTTTTTATAGTTCTAGACGATACAATGAACTGCTCGAATTAATGGGAACGAAAAACTGAACCCTAAGACGTATTGAAGTTTCAGAAGAAGATTACAGCAACAATTTCGTAGCAGAAGTTTCTCAGGCATGTCTGCAAAGTGCAAAAAGAAACTCTTAGATTGTGGTTTTATCAGATGATTTCCCAAAGACAATGGTCTATCATTCTTGGCATGTAAAGGCAAGTTTTTCATTAGAACTCCTACAGGGGTTGGGGTAGAAAAATGATTCAAATTCGGTAGGATTAATCTTTACGCCAAATAATTGCTATGAATGCATTTTCGTGAAGAAGTATTGAAACTTAGAACTTGAAAACTTGAGAAAAAAAACATCATTTTTTCATTCTTCCCGATGAAAGCACACTACCGCAGATAGCGTGTTTAAGATACTGTAGCTAGTATGGGCCACTTGAAGTCTTCATCTTTTTACATCAAATCCCAAATGAGTCTTAACAATTTTCGTATGACAGTACCATTGGAGTTCTTGAAGAGCTCACAAGTAAAGCGTTGTGAAGATAGTTGATAGAAGATGTTTTCGTGTTAGATAAGATGGATCGTCATTGTGATGCCTTTCGCTTTGACGCTGAATTCGCTAAATAAACTCTGATCAAAACTCCACCGCGTGCAGTCTTCGCTTTATGCTTAGCTGCTGGTGGAAAACGCAGCAGTATCCGGGATTCCTATTAGCGCAATATTTATCGCGACCAATGCCATGATTTAACTCCTCTTCTCGTGGATCGTTCGCACCATTGTTCATAGATAGCGCATGACTGTCTATATGAATGGTCATACAGTTTAAATCTGCGCCGATACTGTCGAGTGTTTGAATTTGATTAACTGACAAAGCCATTCATATTGGTTGGGTTGAATGTGCATTAAATTTGTCAGCGCGGTAACAATGCAATGTGTGCGCAATATTTCCCCAACGTCGGTCGGAATTCAATTTTCAAAATATATTAGACATAATTATATTTATATTATATATTATATTTATGTATACATGTATAGGTAGGGTTATTATATTAATATATTGTTAACATAATAGATATATAATCGATAATCTGTCAGGTCTGGTTACGATAGTTTATTGAGTCAGATAATAACTTGTGCGCGGTTTTAATTATTACTCTTATTATATATAGTATTATATATAGTATTATATCTATATTTAACAATGGTGTAGGCCTACAGGGGATGCCCGCCATTTAAAACAATTGCCAACGCGTCTATCACGCTACCTCAATGGTGGTTTGGAAAACCGTGAATTGCCAATCGATTCGGCGAGAAATGTTGTTCCGATAGTAACAGTCAAATTTCAATATGTCCAGCAAATTGTATTGAAAGCTGGATTGAGTTGGCCTATCAAACTCGAACACATTGACACCTCATTTCCCGTTGCGATCGATTATATTGGCCACGTTTCAAGAAACGTTTACATTTTGTGAATTTGCTGCAAAAAACGGCACGTCCATCCAGCGTGGAATGTTCACAATTTTTATTTTATAGATGCTACAGGTAATAAATTAGAAAAATGTTAAGGATCGTTAAGCAACAAGTGTTATTACTAGCCCATCTACGGATGTAAATAGTGAGGACACATCCGACTTCCCCCAGTCTAATCGCCTCTGTTCAGACAAAACAAAAAGTTGATATGCTCAGTTTTTTGTGGAGAGACAATTCCATCACGTGACATTTGCCATAAAGCTGCTCTTAGTTGTCCCTGCACCCAAAAACAAAGAAAATCATTTTCAAGCCATGATGGAACAATTCGTTTTATATTTCATCCTAATATTTGTTACAGATCGGAATATCAAGTTTTTTAAATCTCCATTTTCTTGGTTTTAATACAAATTTAATAATAATAATATGCTAAAGAAAGCATTGTCAATAATTTATAATAAAAAGTGTCTATAGGACAAGTGAAATCTTCTCGAGATTTTCATTAAGCAAAAAAGGATGAAAAATGATATTAAAATTTAAATAATTTTTTTTGGGATACAATCATACGTGTAAGAATAGTTAAATATATATATATATACACACGGGTAATCATGCATCTATATATATCTATATATACATACATACATATATATATCTATATATACATACATACATACATATATATATCTATATATACATACATATATATATATATATATGGGTATATACGTATATATGTTAATTTATATCTTTTATTGCAGCTTTTACTAATTTTTATTATATAAGTATTATTAACCATAATGTGAGAGTGGATTTTTCGTTATTTTTATATTTTTTACCTTTTTTAATTTCTCTTTCTGCAACCGCTTTTGAATATGTTAAGATTTTTTCTCAGTTTATATATTTAAGTTTCACTAAATAAATTGTATTTTCGCTAGCTATGGATAGTATTGACGTTGTTATATCAAAATACCAATCATCACTCAATCAATTAAACATACATTCATTCAGGCAATTTTTGACATGCATTTAAAACAAAAACTATTTCCGTTATGGAAAATTTGAGCTCTTCTGCAAATCGATTTTTGTTTTCTTCTTTGTGTTATCATGGACTATTGTTGAGGTGAATCGTGTAGAGTAATTGTTTACTTCTTTTTCTGGGCATTATCGTTAGTGATTTTGCTCTTTAAGTGATCTTTGTAATCTAAAATATTGCCATTCCATTTGGTTACAGTTTCATTCTCACAAACCCAAATTTCTTCGGCCACCTAAAAAACAAGAAACTCATAAGATAAAATTATTTTTTTTATATAAATAATTCTCTCGCTCACCTGATTAATTAAGCGAAAATCGTGAGAAACTAATACCATGCCGCCATCAAAATCATTTATAGCATCAGCCAAGGCATCAATGGTTTCCATATCCAAGTGATTAGTAGGTTCATCTAACAATAACAAATGTGGTACTTGCCAGGCCAACCATGCAAATACAACGCGGCAACGTTGACCATCTGAGAGTTGACGTATTGGACAGACCTGTTGACGTCCTGTTAAGCCGTAGCGTCCTATAATTTTTCGCATCTCTTCTTTCTCTTTCACATCGGGAAAGGCACGCATCATATATTCTAAAGGACTGGCATCTAAATCAAGGAGCTCGTGCAAATGTTGATGATAACGTGCGATACGTAAATGCGAATTTTTACGTATCATACCAGAGGTCGGCACCAAGTCACCGTATAGTAACTTAAGCAAAGTGGACTTACCAGCACCGTTGGGACCTACCAATGCCAGACGCGTATCAAGATCAATGCCAAATTCCAAATTCTTATAAATCCAGGGAGTCGTATCACTGTAACGAAAACTAACGTTTTGCACCATAATTACTGGGGGCGGAATTTTGCCGCATGAAGGAAAGTAGAAATTGAGTGTTTTGTCATCCGATACTTTTTCTGTCAGACCTTGAGCCACCATTTTGGCTAATGTCTTTTCCTTTGACTGAGCTTGCCTAGCTAATTTAGCCGAACCATGTCCAAAGCGGGCTATATAGTTTTTCATATGAGCTATTTGATCTTGTTCCCAGTTATATTGTTTCATCTGATTTTCCAACAATTCCATATGGGTACGTACGAATGCTTCATAATTACCGGTATAGTATTTGAGGCGCTTCTTGGTCATGTGTATAATGTTTGTGCAGACACCATTGAGGAAGTCCTGCGAATGCGAGATCAGCACTAAAATACGTTTATATGTCTTTAGCTCCTCTTCTAGCCATACACAAGCATCTAAATCTAAGTGATTGGTCGGTTCGTCGAGCAACAACAAGTGTGGCTTAACAAATAAAGCTCGAGCTAAAGCAATGCGCATACGCCAGCCTCCCGAAAAATCTTTAGCTTGCTTCTGTTGCATACTTTTATCGAATCCCAGACCATGAAGGATACGAGCCGCTTTAGCTTCTGCCTGATCGGCTGCCATATCGTCTAAACGTTCATAAATATCAAGCAATTGCTCCTGGGCATCATCATCTTCACTCATTGCTAGTTCTTCGGCTAGTTTTTCCAATTTAATGCGTTCCTCATCTACTTCCATAACGCATTGTAAAGCTGTTTTCGAGCTGGCAGGTATTTCGCGAGTCAAATGAAAAATATCAATGTGTTCGGGTATAGGTACCTCCCGGTTACCCAACACTGCTAACAGCGAAGACTTACCACAACCATTAAGACCTATCAAACCATAACGGCGACCACAATTCAATTCTAACATAGTATCTTGCAATAGTTCAGAACCGAAAAATGTTATGGAAAAATTCGCAATTTTCACATCTCGCGACCGTGGATGCACCGCCAGCGAGCCAGTGCAAGAACGTGCTTCAGCTGAAATGCGTGCTTCTTCCTCTAATTTGGCGCACAATTTTTCCTCTTCAGTCATTTCGCGTGTTGGTTCGTTGGCATTACCGTTGACTGCTGCGCTGGAAGTGGAACCATTTGCCATCGCTTTTTTCGATGATGAAATCTGGGCGATTTTCTTATTACGTGCCTCTTTTTTGCGTTGGGCTTCACGTTTCTTAGCATCTGATGGCATTTTGTCTTAAATAAGCGATTTACTTTGTTATTGGATGATATAAAAATTTTCTGGAATATAAAATAATGAGTATACTGTAATATCAAGTTTGCTTAATAAAAACACATTTTCTAATCAGTTAATGTTCTCTTAACAAATGTGAAAAGAAGTGGAAGATATAAGGGTAGAATTCATATCATTGAAAAGAAATTAAGCAAATGAATGTAACGAATTTTTGACGCCTTGGACGTAATAAATATTTCATAGTGTGCTTATAGTACATCAAAATGAACATATCTCTTCTACGTTACTATGCTTAGCACATGTATGCAGCGAGGATTTATTTAGAAAAAACTTCAAGAGAAAACAAAGAAAAATATCCCATATTTTGCAGAATAAGTCTAGAAAAGTATAACCAACAGACAATGTTCATCTAAATACCCTGAGCAATTTCTCTGCATTGACCCTGAAAACAATGCTGTACTTTTTCCTTTTCTCTTGTCTAAAGCTAATATACACACATTGTAATTTCGTAATTTTGTGTTTCACTGAGAGAAAATGGAGGAAATACTTTTGTCTTGCAGCAAAAACAGAAATACAAAACTTCTTTACTGCATAATATGACTCACAACTGCACAAGGCTTTTTACCTTTCTTGCCGAAAAATTGTCTCAAGACATAAAAAACTTTCACGTGTTAAATGAACCACTGATTAACGCCTACTGTCATAATTAGCATTGCAGATGGATTGCGAATTTTTCGTGAATTTTTCTACACTTACCGGAAAATTGACTAAATTATTTCAAAAATTTCTTTCAATATTTTTATATTTTTTTGTTATATTAGAAATATCAAATAAATTTCGAAAGCATCTGTAAAATTGATATAAAATTCTTTCTGTGAATTTGCAAATTCTACTAATAGAGACAACTCTGCAAAAGTGAGTGCGTTCAATGTTGCGCTCTATCATCAGAAATAGTATATCTATTTTTTTTTAATGTGAAAATAACAACTTAGAAGGAAATTCAAAATAATGATATTTACTGCGAAGAGAGGAAAATTCAGGTTGATAAAAACATCAGCTGTGCTATATATACCTTAAGAAATGTTTCCATTCATAATGTATCGCTTTTCGGAATATAATGTGGCTAGTGATAAAGAACGTTAAAAAAATTTCTAAAGAAAGTTATAAACTTTCAGTAATAGGCGGTTTGGAAAGTTTTCAAGGCTTTTCAGCCATATTTCACTTTCATTCGATGCTTCAACTAAATATCATTTATTCGTTTATCATTGGATCCCAGAACATTTACAATTTATGCAAATATTTTGAATATGTGAGTAAAGGATGTAAAACTAGATGTTGGGTTAATTACTTGGCATTTACTTCTGGAGGTAATGATTGTGCTGCGTCATTCGTTTTTTAGTTGATTAAATAGCATTTTCGTTTGCTGACCTCAGAGAGAAAAAATTATAGTAACAGTTCATTGACTTTTTCCAAGTTCTTTTATTTTATTTAATTTTATTAAAATTTTTAATATTAATTTCTCCTGTTTATGAAAGTTTCATTTTTTTTCGTTTTTGCTCCCTTAGAATAAATACATTTAGATGTTTGTGTCATCTCCAGCTGGTTTCATTTTAGTTTGGTTTTTGTCCAAAATCATATACGCAGGAAAACGAAACGAAAAACTGTAATTTTATTTCTAAATTTCAATATATTTAAAATGTTTATTTAACTTCTTAACCAAAAAGTACGAAACCAGTTCAGGCTTTTTGATTAACAAATATTTTGTAAGCTCCAGATAATCTAAGTGCAATAAATACAAGCTACAGCTATATATAACATATGAAATGCTTTCTCTAAATGTTTCCTTCTATAATTTACTCCTTTACCTTTTTGGCTTTTCATTAATTGCAAATTCATACCTTCCAATATTTATACGAAATTTGTACGTAAATAAGTAATGATTTTTCTTATTTTTAATCTTGTGGGCTAGGAGCTTAAAGGCACCTTAACATCCAAAGATAGTTTATGCAATAAGCTTTCTTGATATTCCCAGGTCTGGGGGAGACATTTGATTGTTATATTTTTCACAAAGTGGGAGATAAATATAGTTTATAAATGTTTACACACATTGACTATACATGTTATTACGTGCACATAATTGGATGTTCAATGATTAATGAACTTTATTAGAATTAAGAAAAGTGTAATCCGCCTGAGTGGCCGAGTAGACAAGAGTCTCGAGTAGCAACTCAATGGTCGTGGGTTCAAATCTCAAATTCCGTAGAGATTTTAATAAAGCCGAAAGCCTTAGATGCTAGTGCTTTAAGATTTTAGTTTTAGAATTTATTCTCTGGGTAAATTTATAATGATAATAATAATAATAATAATAAGAAAAGTGAGTACTCAAGTATAACAAAAAAAAAATAGTGCGTGAATTCAACAACGCAATGCTTAGCAATACTCCAAAATAAACTGTAATTTAAAAATTGTAAATGTTACTGTAAACTTATAAATCTATAATCCGCCTGAGTAGCCGAAGGCAACGAATCTCGACTAGCAAGTCAATGGTCGTGGGTTCGAATCTCAAGTGCGGTAGAGTTTTAAAAAAAGATGCTGGTGCCTTTCAGAGTTTGGTCTTAGAATTTAATTCTCTGGCGAAATTAATAATAATAAAAATAATATAAATCTATAAATTAAATTTGTGTTTCACCCAGACACTAATATTTCCAAATATGGGGCAGACATTTAATATATAAATTTATATATTTTATTTCACCTTATTTATATATATTTGTTTAAGCGTATATTATATATAATTTACAAAGCTATAAAATTCATAAAATTAATTACTCCCCGAGATGGGGGAATATAATCAAAGCTTCATCGTGTTAACCTCCTATGAGTTCCAACAACGAACGATAAGTGGAATTAATTTTGCACTGATAGGGAATATAAAAATTTTACACTATCTCTAGTCTACTTGTTTGAGTTTTAAAAAGGCAAGCACAAATTTAATAATGGTTAATAAAACCAGTTTATTGTTTAATTCTTGTTGGATCTTCAACTTTATTCATCTGCAAAAATATTCTGTTTGGATCCTCAGCAAATACACTGCATTGGGGAAGTCTATGATTTACACGAGCTTAAGTCAAGTTTGAGTTTCTCAAATACTTTTGGACGAAAGTAAAATAAGAGACACATGACATACGGACGTTAGAATTTGTGGCTTAGCTTGTAGGTAAATTTCTCCTGTTTAAAGTTCATCACACGTACCTTTTAACTAATGTATTAACATTTAATGTATTACATTTATAAACTTATAGTCTAGGAAAGTTTTATTTGTCCAAACAGATTGTTTCACAGGTCCTGATGTTAGTGACTATATGCCACGGATGCGCATCTTACTACTTTAAACAAAGATGCTAGATATTCTCTAAGGATTTCAATTTTTTTTCCGCTAAATATGAGCAAAATTTTTCTTTTGAATATCAGTTAAGACATTTACAGTAGGTCAAGTCAGATCGGGGTAAGCTCTCTGCATTCTACTATTCTGGTCCGCCTATGTCGCATTCATAGGAATTCATAGCAATCGCTTCATTTCCTTCACGATAAATTGACGATATATTTACTTGATATCTCGTCCCGTTAGGGTTTGTTTTTTTCATATTTAAAAATGTCAAATGTATCAGCTGTGCAAGTCGAATATTGTCAGTTTTTCTTGTTGTTGTTATAATTGAAAAACAAAACAAAAATAATTTGTACCTCTGCAGTGTAATGGTTTTAATTATTTGCATTAGCGATTACTGTGGACGGAAAACGTATTCCCAAATTTCTGCGGACTCAAGCGATAAAGCCGATATTGTATACAAATATGAAACACTGGGAATATGTCAGTCTTATTCGATGACTAAAGAGAATGATTCGATGAACAGTTGTTTCAGTCAGCGACGCCTAGTGAGACGCTTTAAAACCGAAGTGGACGGCGTTAAGTATTTTTATTTGCATAAGGAATTAGTACAATTTACAGAATATCGAAAGATATTATATACTCATTTAGCTACGAATGGAGTTCAGCTGCTTTATTTACAAATTGCACAGCCATCAAAGCAAATTATTGATTGGAAATGGTGGGTATATATTGAGCTTAAAATTTGATATTACATGCTGTAGTTTTGTTGTTACGTGTTGTAGGAATAGCCGAGTTTTGTTGTTACATTTTACAATTTTGTTTACTTTCAATTCTGCACGTGTTTTTAATAACAACAATCAAACGAAGCTTTTAGTGAAAGCACCTTGTACAAGTTCTACTCATGCTTGCGCAAGTAATTTATTGGATAGGCATGGACAATTTTTCTCCTTTTTTGTACAGGTATTATATATTTATACTCCTTTCATATTCTCAACGTACGTACTAGCGAAGGCATGTTCTTCGATCGATTTGGCATATTCTCAAGAAATTCCAATGGTCCTGGCAAATTTGAGATCGGTACCTTCATTCATGCGTTCAGAAGAATTTTTACAGCAGACATTGTACCAAATTTGATGCTGGGGGAGCAAAAAAGAATAATTTTAACATTTCGGAAAGGTGGATATGGTTACCGTAATCCATAAAGATCATAAACTCTCTTCCATTTATTATACGACTTTTAAAATGAACACATTTTGCCACGAGCGAACGTTTATGGGATGTGACGAACGAAACGAAGACACAATCGTATACTTTCCCTTACTCGGCGGTTACGAGTATAAAAGAGAAGTAATTCACAAACTTTAATGTTCCGAACTTTGCACGTGTATGCAATTAATACTTTTTATAATCATTGCAAGCTGTCCGTACATACACGTACCGATGATTAGTGCAAGATTCGGGGCGATTGTAGTTTTCTAATTTCTTAAAATTTATTAAAAATACTTTAAATTTTCTTCAAATATACATATGCAGTAAGCTTCAAAGACAAATTCCAAACCGATTTAATAATGTCTATCCGTCCGTCCTTCTATGTAATTCCGTGCTAACACCTATCCTGATCGCAAAAATGAAGCTAGCTATATTAAATTTGGCGAAAACATAGGAAGTTGTTTCACGCAGACCGATGTTAAGAATGGAACAAGTTGGTCCAATATAGATTGAGAACACTTTCCTTTCTTTGAAATTAAAAAAATGTTGCGAATTTGCAGCCGATATCTTCATTTTTGCAAGCGGGAGAATGCTTACCATGGGTACTATCGAGTTGGGTGGACAAACGGATCGACATGCTTAAGTGCATTCCGAATTTGAAACTGGCTAAGAATTTGCATATATTTAAGGGATTCTTCCAGCTTGCTTCTGCGCGCTATAAAGGTCTTGAAAAAAAAAAAACAAATTTTCATAAATTATATTAGGTCGAGGCTTAAATAACTTGCGCTTTTTCAGCAGGCATTTACTCATGTTATTTTTTCGGCTGTTGCCTTCTTGAAATGCCCAAAGCATTACACGTCGAATATACGCTTCTTGACTCTCCATTTCAGAGGTTAAGAAAAACCGTTGTAACCATGTAAAATAAGTACTATACGTTCTGCACAATCTAGAATTGCTGAGTATGATACACAAGGAATTCGCAATGTATTCAAGCATGCATATATGTGGTTAGTAGTCATTTGTAAATGGTATTTTGATCATAATTCATGCAAGTGTGATTAGTAGCCATTTGTATATAGTATTAGTGTGGTTAGTAACATGCACCACATGAAACTGTTGACAGAAGACTAACTGAATCCTCCTCGTTTATATAGTGACAACAAAAACTTGTTTGTTTCCATGACTTGTAGTGGGGTCAATATCAACAGTAGATTCTACCTGCCTGCATCGGAAGTTATTTATGACTGAACCTAATAATATTGTTATGTCATAATAATATAGTTATGGTCAACTGACACAAACATTATATTTAAAACATGTCCAAGAAAAAAATGATTTCTTTAAATTTTTAATTGGAGAGTTTTTTCTGCAACAGGGAAAGAAACAAGAAATCTATGGTGCATTTAGTCATTGACGTTTGTATATATATTTAAAGGAACGCGATGTTAACTCGAAAATTGTACGAAAAAGTTGAAACCGATTACTTAATGTCCTGGCTGTCAACATTGGGTGGTGGATTTTCAGCTTTGGGTGAACAATTCTCTAGATGTGTAAGTCATTGTCTGCGTATAATAAGAAATAATTGAAAGTATTAGAAAACACTCTTTCTCCAGGCTGAGGTAGCGGGAAAAATCTCAATGAGACAACTCTACATTGGTATACATTTAGGAGATCCTTTCTTGCAAGCACGTTGTAAACTCTATTACAGCGTATCTCTATTGCAAATAGGAAAGCTAAGGTCCGCCAAGTACATAATCAGGAAACAGTATCATTTTGCTGTATTCCATAAGGACGTTGATGGACGTTTGCTAAAAATGTGCAAGGGCATCTGGCAGCGACTGCAATATGAATACGGTTTAAAACTTAAAAAGAAACGCCAACGAGAAAGTCTACTTAGAGACGAGGGCGCCGGTGACAAGTGAAAAAAATTCCTCGACGACTAAATTTAGATTCATATATCTTACTTTGACAAAAAAAAAAAAGAAAAGAAAATCATCACTCTTTATAGTTGGGTTATATATTTGAAATCAAGATAATAAAAAAAAGGAAAAACATTTCGTTAATATTGTCAAACAAAAAGGGGAAGAATACATAATTTTGTTTTCTTGGTTGCTAGGTTCACTAGTCCAAATCTTTAAGGATATTGCGTCCTTTGCATGTGCACGTTCTTTTATTCCTTTAGCGATATTTTAAATTATTTATGTTTTACAGCGAATGCATAACGTTACACGTATACGTATGAATGTATAAATGTACATACGTACAACCAAGGCGTGCACACGAAAATTTTATGGGTTACAAACTAAAGTGAATGATTTCCATAAGTTTGTTAATTACATTAATTACAAAAAGAAAAACAAAAAAAAAAAAAAAAAAAAAAAAAAGTAGAAGTTAAAACACTGATGTGATCATACATGTAAAAAAAGTCGCAAAAGAGATGAGACGGTATTCATGATCTACTGTGCCAACGTGCCCATAGGATCCCAGGCCGGTAATACAATGGGATCCATTTCAAATACACGCATTACGTCTTCGGGCACAAATTTTTTGTCAACAACTACTTCAAATCCGAAATCTTTGAACCAGTCAGCCGTCATAACTAAGTAGCCCTTTTCACCTCGTTCCTCACCCCAAGAATTTTCCACTCGCAACTTCTTCGGGGATCCATTTTCCTGAAAACGATAATACTCAGTTCAAATATTCTTTCAATGTGTTGCGGTCTTTGTGCAACTTACGTCTAGTGAAACCGCCGTAAATAACATTGCGTGAGTCATGGAAGATTCACCATAAATAAGACGATCGGCTTTGCAGAGTGTTTTTTGAATGTCTACATCGAAAACCAGTTTAAAATCATGTCTGCGGAATGTCAAAGCAAAAAAAGCAAGATATTGGGATAAATATAGTAATAATATTAATAATAGTGAAATTTTAATTAATTTACATATTTAAATCCTCTATGCCTTGCTTGGGGGCAAATCGTTTGCTCACTTCACAACCGAACCATACTGCCTCCCCAGACTTAAGACTAGCAGTCACCATGTTTAATAATAATTCCACCGGTTGGTTATTATATAGCACAGGACGCCCACCAATTACGTTACCCAAACAATCCACAGTATACGCTTGACTATAAGGATTCGAAATTCTAGGATCCGTAACCAAGCAGACCTATCCGATTAAATTAATTTCGATTAGCTACAACGTATTTGAATGCTTAAAAAGTAGACTTATTTACTTTATCCTCGACGTTGAAGATGGGTTTCACCATAGTATTATAAAACTCTACTGGTTTTATAGGACCAACTGAATGATAAGCTTTGGCTTTATCATAATATTCCCAAGTGAATTTCTCGGCAGGTATGCCCAAACAGATGCCAACGACTTTGTAGATTTCTGCCATAATATTGTTAATTTTATCATTTATCTCCTCGTCGCTCGGATTAGTGTCCATAAGATTGCGCAAAACTTTGGCATACTCACGTAGCTAAGAGGAACAAGACCATACTTTTATTTTAAATAATTTCAAACTCCAAACAAGCTCACCTTGCTTCTTAAAACCGCATTCATATGTTGGCTGGCTTCGGAAGTAAAACTTTCCGGAAAAGATTTCTTTGGCATCAAGCCATGTTTTGTTATTAAATTGACCAACATATCCCATTGGCCACCATCCGAGGTGGGATCCTTAAAAGAAAAAAAAAAAGAAAAAAAAAAAAAATGCAAATTTATTTATGAAATTATCCCTTGGTATCCTCATAAACGTACGGTTAATAAGAATGAAACCAAACGGCCATCGACTTTCTCGCCACGTCTCGAAGTATTGACAATGTTGTTCAAAAAGTAATTGCATCTTTCAATTTTGTCCCAATAAAAGAGGTAAGATTGTGAAAACTCAAACTCATCCAAATTGTATTCCTTCATAAACGGTAAACGTATGCAATTTAACGCTGCAAATAACCAACATCTGCCAGAATTTTTCTGATTTGTAACTGGTTTGCCTTCCATCTCAACCTATTGAAGAAAAACAAAAAAGGTTAACCTCTTTGGATCGCATAACCAAGATTCCAAATGAACAAACCTTATAGGTGAACACATGATTGATGCTTTCTATAGTTTTGCGCGATAAGCAAACATCGAATGGATCGAAACGTGAACACACATTCTGGGCCAATACATTTTTTGGTTCTTCGTAGAAATTTTTACGCCATTTATCCAACTTTTCTTGAGTAATAGCTGTAGAGCAAGCTAGAAATAACAAAGGTGATCCAGTTGAGTATACAGAATTCTGTCCCATACCGAATATGCTTCTGACTAATTTATGAGACGATAGAAATTGGCGTCGGGTAGGACTAGCTGCTGCACAATAGAAGCAACTCACTGTAAATGTTTATAAAAATCTATACTTGGTGTATAAGCCCTCCAACAAAAGCAAGCATTTCTTGGCACAAAAAAAAAAAAAAAAAAACAAAAAAATTGTTGAAAAACGTACATCATCGATAAATGTGAATGCAGCAGCAAACAACAATAAAAATAATGAATGCAATGAAGAATATGTCTGTTGATTTTAATGGTTCTCCGATCATAACCACAATTAATTAAGACGCCGCAAATTGAATCTGTGTCAACCTCTCTTAACGATCACATACATATGTTAATTATAAACCGCAATTCGAACTCAATTTCATGCTTTTGCTTATAAGTGGGCGTCTTTTAAATGATTTCTTTGTGTTTGCAATTATTGAATTAAATATTAAATTTAATATTTCAGATGATTGCAATGTATAGAAATTATGAATGAAATATATATAATTCTTGAGCGATGTGAATAACGGATTTCAATTTCTCTCACCTCAAGTTACAAAAATCAGTTAAATTACGCAAATCAAGGATTCTCTCATCATTTTAAAAAGGCTATATATATATATATATATATATATATATATATATATATATATATATCAGTAGAAGCTCCTTATTCTCGCTTCCTTTATTCGCGGTTTCACTATTCGGGGATTTTTTGTGACTGGTTCCGGAATTGTTTTGTTTCTGAAATTGAAACTTATTTAAAAAAAAAACAGAATTTAGACTTTAAAGCACTTCTAGTCTTGGACAATGCACCAGGTCATCCTCGCGAACTTGAAACTATGCATCCAAACATAAAGGTGACATTTTTAACTCCAACACGATGGCTTTGCTTCAACCTATGGGCCAAGGAATAATCCAGGCCTTTAAGCTCTTATTACATTAAATGAACCTTCAAAATTATATTGGATAATATGGAATGTAATCCTGATATGGATGTTATGGAATGCAGGAAGAAATTTGACGTAGCAAAATGCATCGTAAACATAAAAGAATCATTGGAAGAACTGAAGCCACACACATTGAAGTCATGCCGGAAAAAACTGTGGCCTGCTCTGACTGCGGGAAATGACGAAGAATCTGCGAGAGGAGTTCAAACCTTGACTGCAAACATAGCCGAAATCGCGAATGGAATAGGACGAGATGGGTTCAAACAGAGAGAATCAAGTGATATTCAGGAATTGCTTGAATCGCAAGATAAAGATTTGACTGAAACCGACTTGGAGGAAGTGTTAAATTCACCGCCTATTGAAGAAGAGGCTCCAACAAGCACTGGAAACGTGACATTTATTTTGGAAAAGTTTTAGTGAAGGCAAATAATGAGCTTGGCGATTTCTTTTTGAACATTGATCCGTTTATGGAACGAAGTCTTTTTTTTTTGAGAGGCAAATTGCTAATGCGACTGCTGCGTGTGAACTTTCAAAAACTGTCAAGCAAGAGAAACTTACAAAATTCTTCAAACCATTGCCTAAGCCTTAAGATAATTATTCAAAATGTTCAAAAAGTTCAATTAAATTGATTTTTTTATATATTTGATTTTTATTTTATTTTGTCACCTAGGAACGTATCCCCTATAATCCCATATAAATTACCACTCCGTATTCACGGTTTCTGTATTCGCGGCATTTTTATGGAACGTATACCTCGCGAATAAGGAGCTTTTACTGTATATAAATAAGACGGAATACGTAATTATTGCGTAAAAACATGATAACAAATGAGTGAATGTTTGACCCATATCAGCTTCAAATATCGTAAATAACTTAATGACTGTATGCAAATTTGATTGCCTTTCGTTTTTTTTTCTCAGGGCAAAACTTTCGTGGAGCAATAGTCTATTTACTCATTTCACATTGCACAAGTTTATATATAAAATGAGGCAGGCATTTATCTAAGATGTTCAATTTCTAAGTTTCCTACTTGAAATTCAATTTTCAATTAATTCCGTTTAAAATTAGCCGTTTAAATTCTAGGAATTTTCATCGAATTTAGCAGTTCATTTTAATTAATTATCGTCACGTTTCCACAAAATTTATTATGCCAGTTGTTTATAATGAGTTTTGTGTAAACATATCCGTGAAATTTCCATTGTCTACAGCAGAGCAGCTGTTAGAAATAGTGATCATACGAATAACAGTAATAGACATTTTTTTCATCAAGCGTTATTTCTATTACGCATATAACGGACGTGTAGATATTTTTTCAGAAATTTTGCCTATCAAATTTTTGCCTATACATTTTTATTCCCCTATCAAGATGTCAAGATGATATCACGCTTTGCCTTTTCATTTGCAACAGCGAGAGACACTTCGACATCAAACGTCAATAACGTATATATATTTTTGATCATTGATTGACGATATTCTGTGTCTATGTAACGCTTATAGCAGCTAATGGATACAGCCTATTGGCTAAATAGCAGTATATGATCTAGACATTTGTAAAAGCATTACGCAAGGACATTTAAAAGCTCAATGTAAATGTGATTCGGTCCGTTCCTTCATACGATGGTATATTGTTAAAGAAATCACTTTAAGGCAAACGTAACATTTTTACTTGCTAAGTTATTGTTACGTCTTTTATTGAACTTATATTCCTTACATCACGTTCCATTGAACGTATATAATGCAATGCTTTAAAAACGATAATTTCGTTGAGAGAGATAAACGAAATCGTAATTAATCGACGAAGACTGAAAATCATAAATTATTTTAGATGAAAATTGTGCTTCGCCATGTTACTGCGCAAACAATCCCCAATTATTTGAATACAATAGTGAAGGAAATTAAAGTAGAAAAGCAAGCAAGTTCTGTTAACCCTGTATGAATGAAATGGAATATTTATTGTTTTTTGTTTAAATTCTAGGCTTCTTAGTTTTTTCAGGTTGATCATGGCTATTCTTCCGTGATTAATCATATATCCATGGGTAATTACTTAATCATTGGAGTGGATATCTGGTATAGATCGTAAATTATTGATGTTTCGAAATATTGTTAAGATATTGGTCACATATAATTAACGGCTAGATGCAAAACTTCTACTTATTGTTTAGAATAAGAAATACGTGCAATAAGTTTCATCTGGTTTGATTGTTGCATTCGCAATGCGCTTATCTCCCGTAGATCACTAGAAGGTCCCTACTTTTACGGATAAAAACGCTTGGTTTGTACTGAAGGCGGAATGGACGAACTGAATGCGAAAAACCATATCACACCCACCTATATCTCTTTAGGATTGTGTTTGATATTATTTAAAGAAAGATCCTCCAAATCATCGAATAATTTGCTGCTCCGAGGCCTCTATTGTTTCAAAATATCTTTTTTTTCTTTTTATATTCGAAAATTATCAAAAAGTTTTGACAGGTAAAGAGTCAACGGTAAATATTTTGAAGCATTTTGAAAAATTTACTGTAGATGTGTGACGAATAAATTGGAAAGTGCTGAAAAGAGTCAATTGATCTTCGAAGAACAGATAATGAGGAAGAATAAGGAAGTTATCAAAAAATCAAGCAAAAATGGCGAAAACATCGACTTATTCAAATGAGTGGGCATAACAATAAAGAAAAACAAACATTTTTTTAACTTTACTCTTGTTTACCATTTTCGCTCCCACAAACTTTTCAACTAGGTTTACATTATTATATATTTTATAAAATTTTAAATATTACGAATTTAAAATTAAAAACTTACAGAGTTTTTGCACTAATTTTATCTTCATACTATGGACATAACATAAAAACGGAATTACAAGATTTTTTTTTATCATAAAAATGCTCAATCGAGCTAATTTTAACCAATCAAAATATGTAGCAACAGCTATGGCTTTCGAAGTGTCTGTATGTATGCATACATAAACTTTTTATCTCTACACACATAAATTGCTGGACCGATAATAAAAATATTCCAACAAAACTTCCCATTAATTAATCTAATTTCTCAAGAAACTCGAGATATTCATGCATCAATATATGTATACACGCACACAATTACAAAAGTTTAACTGTATATGACAATATTATTGTTCATTGCTGCAATGGCTTCTTTCTTGACACATTTGCTGCTAGTGGAATGACAGCAAAATACATAAAAAAAGAGAAGGAAAAAAGGCAACTTCGAAATTCGTGCAAAAAGATAACGACTGGTAAAAGTATTGGGAAATAACAAAGCAAATTGGCGTATATGGGTGAAATTTTCATTTTCAACATGAAAGATATAGAAGAAAAAAAGAAATAAGCCATTGGAAAAATGAGACGATAAATTTTGCCACTTTTTATCTCGTAATCATATAGCTGCGCCCTTAATTATTAACTTACACATGCTTATTACTTTTCGTTCTTTGCGATTATTTTTTGTTTTGCAATATTTGAGGTATTTTTGATTTTGTACTTAATTTTTATTACAAAATACACAATAAACTGATTTCTTAAATTACTGAGACGAACAAATTATCAGCAGGATTATAACATATAAATTTGGAATTTAGTTCACCAAGTTTACAAGAAAGAACTATTTGCACTTTGTTCAATACGTTTATATGAAGTCTTAGTTAATTTTTGATCGAGTGTTACCATATGTTACCCAAAATCTTAGGGATACATATACAGTAATGAAAAAGAAACTGATAACGTAGTGAATGCACAATTAAATAATCATAGTGGTTAAATTGAAAACTAATGCACTTGTATGTTAGTTACTTATCCGTTTTTTGTGATAGTCGCTAACATTGCAAAAAAAAGCAAACAACTTCCCATATGTTGAATAGAGGTGATAACAAATTGGAACAAAAGTAAAAGGGAACAAATCATACCTTGTTGAATTAATTTACATTTTTCTTCCAATTCTATTTCGCCGTGTAACAAAGGTATGTATATGTGTTCTTCGCAGTATTGTGTATTATTAATTACTAATATTTTTAACCTTTTCTTTGGAGTAATATGAATAACACTTTAAGAGTAATTCAAAAATCAAACTACTGAGCTTAAAACTTATTCACTTATCATTCAAATATTTTTCCTTTTATCACTTAAAGCGCTTTCATCTTTTAATATTTCTTGCAATTTACTGTAGCCACATCGGCTGTTGTGGATACCTCTTGTTCTTAAAAAAAAAAAAAAAAAAAAACGATTATCTTTTTGAACACTTCTAAACTGTTACCTTTATGTTGTTCGAGAGAAGTCGAAAGGTTAATGCCTATATGTATAGTTTTTTATTTATTCAAAGGAGAGATTTGCACGTACACGTATATAATTCACGGATAAAATTTATACATTGTGGTGTCTATAGACAATTTTCTAATAAACCCCTTGAAATAAATGATTGATCGACGATAAGGTTACGACTCAGATTTCCGTAGCAATTTAGCATTAATTGAACGCCCCGGGCAAGATTTCATTGACATAAGAGCCAAGAGAGTTTTGAGAGTTAAAATACTACTACGGTTAAAACGGAATAACAATATTTGATATCACTGTATAACCTCACTCGCTAGAAGCTAAAATTGTAAAAAATTTACTACAGATTACACTAAGTTGCCAGATTGAAAGAAGCGAGCAGCCCACGTATTCTATCTAAATTTCTAAGAAAAATATCTTTGGTAATTAATTAATTAAACAAAATAAACTTTTAAATTTGGTCCAAGTAAAATTGTGCTTAAAGTTATTTGCTTGTGCATGTCTCGCTTTCATATCGCAATAGAGGTGCGCAGTCGCATATCCTGTGCAAATGTGTTTATCCAATTTGCCCAGCGTTTGAGTTGTGCAGAATCCTTAAAACTCAGCCTGGATAAGGAAAAGATTACCTTCAATCATCCTACTTTTCATTGTGACATTCTTCTTAGCCAGCATTTTAACATGGTCACTGATAGCTTAATCAATCTAAAAGTGGATGAAGACAATGCCGCCTTCAGAATGAGCATAAAATGCATTCATATGGAAGATAAATGGCCTAGTGACGAAACCTATTGGAAAGAAATCGATTTGTTACCTCAAGTAGAAGAAAATCAAGAAGTTTCTCTTCGGTGCAGTAATTGTGATTTCGTTTTATGTCCTAAGCAAGCTTATAACCGAGTAAGGGCCTATCCATCCAGTTCAATGGAACTAAGTGATTTTTTTTGCCATCATCGAGCGGATTTTGGCGAAGTTTTGATTCCGCAAATTCAAGATCTTTTCTACGGTTTCGAGTGCATTATATTAAATAGAGAAAGTCTGCAAGGCATGATACGTATAAAAGAAACCCACATATATTGCAAAAGATGTTTAAAATTTATAGGTGAAACACTGTTTCGAGATAAAGCTGCTAAATTATGGTCAGATGCCTTTACCATTAATGGGGCAGGCTCATGTAGAAATATTTTCCCATTAAATAATCTTAACAATATTCAAAGGCTAATGTTTAAAATCGTACGAGAATCCACTTCCACAATGCCACTATATGGGAACGTTCATTTTGTGAAAGTTGTCTTGGAAAGCAAATTCCCTAACAGAAAAAATAAGTACTTATTATTGCATATGCTTGAAAAGCATTTAACAATTTTAAGAGGAGGTAAGAGTGAGCAGGCTAATAGCAGCTTGACTCATCAGAAATTTTCTCAAATCGATTTAATACCGTATAGAGCGTTTAAACTACTATATAGATTAATTAATTGTGACCAAGACTGTCAACAGGACGACAGATCACATATCCAACCGTTGTTAATGTATTGGCAGAAAGATATCAATATTCTCAGTTTAAAGATATCTCCTTATCTGTTTAGTGAATTATTAGATGAATTAGAACGGAATACTTTACTTTTGCCGAAAATGTATCGTGAAAGTACCGATGAATTCCTTTCCAGTTACTTGTTCTACAATTAAGTCTGATAATCTTTAGAGCTTTTTTGCATTGACTTATGTATTTATTAAGGTTTAAAGAACCAACAATAAAAGTTCTTTGGAGTGAACGAGAATACAATAAGACTGTTCATATATATAAACGGTTATATACTCAAACATATATGTATATATATATAAATAATTTTGAAAAACTTAACATCGTAAATAACTTAAATAAATGGAGATTTACTTAATGAAAAGTTAGTTCGTTGGACTTACATTCTGGGTGCGGCTTCAATATCGTTGATTTCTTAAGCTTCGCGACAGATTTTGTAATGGATGTTTCCATATCTGCTGCATTTTGCAACATGTCGGGACCATCCATCGCGTATCTGCGAAGGAAAAGCGGAGGTCTTGGTTGCAAGAGGTTATAAAATTGACCGGTTTTACGGGAAACTTTGAACGACGAAATGGTGTTAACCGAGAATTAATCGCCAAGTGTTCAGAAATATTTACAGAAAAAATTTATACAAAGAAAGTAATAATTTGAATAATTTGAAACGTGGCTTCAGTCCATATTATAAGAAAAATTTTCTTTGAAAACGATATTCTTTTCTAACTGTAAGTTTTCGATAATTTTTTTTTTTTTTCATACAGTTGTCAATTATGTCAGATATTTCATAAGGTTGCCGATGCTAACTGATGCTTAGCATAGGAATGTGGATTGTATTGAAATTGAATTTGGTTTTAGCATTTCGAAATTATTTAGTCATTTTACGCATTTGCTTTGTTTGTTCGGCCATCGAAATTTCTGCTTGATCGGCTTTATTGATTAACGAATCCAATTTGTGAAGATGAGAAGTCATTTTCTTTTGCACATCATCTTTGGCGGCGCGTATCTTTTCAATTGGTATAACCGGTTCGCCTGGTTGATGTTGTTGTTCAGGGTCCAACATTTCGTTATCACCCTGATCAGTTATATTCGATGTTGGATTTATATTTGAAGTGCACGCCGTAGTATTTCGTCGGGTATTTGCTCCGGAAGTTGATGGATTTGTTTCAGATTCCTCTTTGCCGGGATTGACTGCGTCCGTCTGCAAGGATCCACTTCTGCTAAATATATTTGATAAACTAGTGCAAGCAGTTTGCTTGAAACGGTTCAATTTCTGCTGTGTCGACGACAAAATAGTGTTAAGTTCATCCAATTTACCCCCCGTATTATTCAGAGTTTCGTCTTGCTCCTCTAAAAGCTATTTCAGATCAATCAAGTATTGAATTTTTGCTTTTGAAGAAAATTTCGTCACTTACTTGCGCCTCGGCAGCATCCAATTCTTCTTGCTGTTGCTTTAAACGCTCTTCCCGGTTCCTTTCGAACTCTTCTAAACTAGGCTTCTCCAAACCCAGTAATTCTGCTCGCATGCATTGAAATTCATATGTTTCTTCGGACATTTTTCTATAAATTTTGACTCGTTTAAAAGATAAATTTTTCTCTTTTGTAATGTAATCGTAGAAAAGAATCGATTTTTTTCAAAATTTTCGTCTATGCGTTAGTTATTTTATTGCTGCAATTAATTAGAGCAAAAGGCAAACCTAATCTTGTACGAATAAACGAATCACTAAATGTTCATGCCAATGTAGTAAATAGGTAAAATTTGTTTAAAAAACTTGCGCATGTGTCGTAGATATGCCCGTCCGTCCGTCCGTCCGCTCGTCTTCCTCTCATCTCATCGTCTAAGATTTAATAATGTATTAAGTCAGACTAACCTACCTTATACATACAACGTATGCACATACATATCATTTAAGATAAATGAAAAAGTATTGAGTATTGAATTAATTCCTGTCGTTTTTCTTGCTTGCTTGAGAGTTGAATTATACTTTACAGAGGTCTCTGCTCGTCGACTCTTTTAACTTTTTATAATTTTTTGGCAAGTTGAGTAACCACATTGTTTTGACCCGATTGAAAGAAGTAGTCGGGTAAGAAGCCTGTGCCAGACGCGATTGCATCTTCCAACCAAACAATCTACGCCTTTATTTGAGTTGACGTAGCAAATTGGAATTGAGTTTTAACCCTGAAAATACGAACGGTTTATCCAATATCGATAAGGACCATAATATTGCCCTCATCATTCGTTATAATGGTTGCGTTGATCGTTTACATTTCGTCATCAGTTACAGTAGAGTGCGAAAATTCTTTATATGTCTTTGAAGCTGCATATCATGATGTTGCTAAAAGCATCTTTTGATACCTCCGCACATCCTTTACGGGATTATATTGCTTAATTAATAGCTAAACAGCGCGAATAGAAGTGAAAACCTCTATTTTTATAATTATGCTGAAATTCACGCCCATCAAGATCTGTTTCTGTTCTTGGTTTTAACGCCTAAGGCAACATATTACTGGTCAGATTAAGACATTTCTACGAACTTGCATAAGCTCCTGGCGTATTCTTTCAAAATATATGCTGTTTTCATTTTTGAGATTTTATTCCATGTAATTCTGAACATTTAGACATAAAGTTAATAAGCATTTCAATCGAAAGAATGAAATCAATCGCATTTTGTTGAAAGGTATTTTAGTTTAATTTCTTCAAGGAGCTCATCGTTAGGGTAGGTAAAAAATTTATATAAGTTAAACTAAATATGCGTTATAGTTTAAATAAAAGTGAACTTTTCAGTTTTGGTCTAGCCCCTAATATATTTCAAACCAATCTTCATAGTATTTTTACATTCTTCTCTTCACGTCGGATCACTAGAGCATTAACAATGTTTAGATTTAGAAGCATCAAAAAATTTATCATCCCAACTCTATACCGCGATCGCGTATAGCAACTTTAAGTAACCGTAGAGAGTAAATTGTAAGAAGCATGATTTAATCAAAGGCATAAAAACAGATATAAGTGATGCCTAATAGTTATTCTTTAAAAGAAGTAACATGGGCTTGCATTATCATTAGGGTAGTATGGGTGAAGTCAATTAAAATGACGTTCACTGTGATTGGAGGCACTATAACTATGCGACGTTTTATAAGTGGGCCACCTTCATATTATATGTTCTCTTTTCGCAAAATCTCTAAGCGAGTTCAATAATATATATATTTGTATATTTATAGAATTCAACGAAGCTCCGCTTTATTATTATTGTTACTATATATTATTATTAATCTTTAAAATCTTAGTTGCTTGGCACTTTTTAGAATTCATTTTATTTCTTTAAACTGGATAACAAATTGAACACACCCAAATCTTCTCCTACACAACTCCGTAGAAAGTTGTGCAAAAAAAAACATTGGACATATGGTAAATATATCGGCATAAGTAGTCGAGTAGGCAAAAACCGCGACTAACGAGTGAGTGCTCCTGGGCTTAGATATTGTTGCGGTAGAGTTTACTTTGGTCGTAGTTATAGTGTGTGCTCATCCTGTAAAGGCATAACACTTATCGATTGGGCATACAGGCCCTGTAGTTTGTAACCACTTTCCTATATCTTTCACTTTCTTCCTGCCCGTCACCGTGTTACGCGAACACGACTGATTGATCATTAAAAAAAAAAAGCCAGCCCTTCAATATCTCATAACGTATATATATTCTTGACAATTGGCAAAATCGAAATGCAACTAAATATGTTCTCCTGTTCTTCTTTTTCGGTCAAATGAAAAAACGAATCCATGGCACCAAAAGTTGAGAATACTGTTGATTTCCGAGTTTTTTGCTCTTAACGCATTTGTTAGTTGCTATGGATTATCTTTTTGCATCTCTTTTATATCTTATAACATATATTGGAGAGAATGAGGCATGTGCCTTTTATATCTTGATAAGTTTCACTAGCAATTTTAGATAACGAAGTAAAAGCGTAACAAGAGCTTTAAATTATATGTTTTGAAAATCCTGGCAGATATATTTCAGCGATGACGAACTAGTTTCCATTCAATGTACCTTATTACTTACTTGTGGTTATACTTGTCAAAAGAGTAATCAGAAATAAATTTAAGACGAAGTAAATCGAGCCAAGCACTCAACATTTCCGTTTTGCTGCTTAGTGTTTATTTACTTGGTGGCATCAGTCTGTACTTTGCTCATATATTTGTATATAAGATTCGGTTAACGTAATCATTTGAGGTAAAATTTCAGTGACATGTAAATCTTGCATTTCATACCATTGACCGTTTGCCGTATGAAATATATGAACTCGATATGTGCCTTTATTTGGTTCGCCATCATGTACAATATTCGCCACGAGATTGTATTTCGTATTATTAAGTTTGTCGCGGTTGTGCATTGAGAGAATGTCACCGAAATCAACATTTCTGAAAAGAAAATCACGAAAATTATTCAAAATAGAAAACATACGGAAGAGTATCTCTGAATTACTTAATGGGAAAGTTAACTATGGTGGGATTCTTTTCCAAAAAGAAAGTATTTTTCGTAAACCTCTTTATATATAATATAATGTATTTCGGCAAACGAGTAATTTCGAATCGCTTTAGGAAATTATCCTTGTAGGTTTTATATTCCTTTTCCGTGATGCCGTTAAATTTGGAAAGCAACTGATATAGGTTTACTTGAGGTATTATATTTTCACGGAATTCGTCGGTGAAAAGCGGAGGTGGTGGCAAGTCACAAGTTAAGTAAAGAAAATTTGATTGTTCGCATTTTTCCTGGTATTCTTCAGTGGCCAATAGTAGAGTCTTCTGCGTATCATCTAAGTCAACTGGAGGAATTTTCCGAGTGTATATTTTCATTTCGCCTAAGAATATTTTATATATAATCGATGAATCCGGAGTTTTATTGCCTTTCAAGGCGCGATGTAACGTGTGCAAGAACCATGATAAGTAATCAATTGGGTCACCTTGTTCCGTAATTTGAAACCGTTTGTTTGACCACAAGACAACAGCTTGAAGCATTTCGTGAGGCGAGACGTGAGCTTTAAAATTGCGCGGATTCCATACCTTCCGCATTAATTCCCCAAATCGTTGCACTAAGTTAAATATAGAATCACCGGGTGGTCGTTTAATTTTGGCGTAATTTTCTTCGCGTAGAAAGTAATCTCTCAACGGACTTACGTGGGATAGAGCATGTAATACCACATTGCAATAATCGTTTGCTTTTATATTATTTAATCCAACAACGCCTGGGAGATAGAGCGTACCATCCACAGTACGTGAATGCTTGGGTTCCGATTTATCTAGATTTCGTATATCGAGTTGGGTAAACGTTGGATTCAACACATATTTGATATCATCTAAGGAGGAATCGATAATCTCGTAATTGTCTGGCAAACAATAGAAACGTAATGTTGATAAATTCAAAAATACATGATGAGCATCAGCAACCGAATGCGTGTAAGCATGAGTGTTAGTACCTCTACCCTGAAAGTACTTCCCACAAACCAAACAAGCATAAACATTTATACGCGTCAGCGATATGGAACAGAGTTTCTCAAAATCAAAATCCAATAATGGTCGATTAATTGTATCTAAATAGGGGCAAACACGGTACTTCGGATTAAATGCTGAAGGCGTGTCTAATTCTAAAGCAAAAAATGTAATATATTAATTATTATGTTCTTTTAATACATTATCAAGCAAATGACAAACCATCCTCTTCGTTATCTATTTTTCTCTTTCGATTTTCGCTAACGGATGACAATTCATTCCGTTTGTCGCTATTTTCTATGGAGAAAATAAATGAGCGCTTAATTGTTATCAAAGGTATATTTTGCAATATTTTACCTCTCATTTTATTGGCAGAAATTATTGGCTAAATGAACACGTTTTCCTTGCAATCTCCGTCCTCCTGTTTTAATTTTGATATGAATGTAAACCAAGAACTTTTCTCGATGTAATAATTCAAGCTCTTTAATTAAGTTAGTTTAATATGATTTTCGCATAATTAAAAAAAAACATTCTTTTATAATTTCGTTACAGTTTAATACCGTTTTCCTTTAATACATGAACATAAATTACAATCAATTATTGATAAAAAAAATTTGAGGAAAATGAATATGAAAGCGCTGAATGACAACAAAACTCTAAAAAGTATGCCTTCCTTCACTGCTGCCTACAGTAAAAATTCGTGAAAATGAAAAGGATTTTTTGAAATGTGCTAAAAAAAACAACCCAGGGTCTTGGCTATGCATGGCGTTAACTAGATTTCAGTTTCAAGTTTCGAACTTTCTTGCTATGTGGATGCACAATAGTTGCGACAAAAGAACTCACAAATCTGTCAAAGCAGGCGTAAGCAAAATAGCTTACACTTTGCAATAATGTTGATTGTTTATATTTGCGTTTATAAAAGAAAACAGCTGCCCGTTGAAAATAAAATAAACTCCAAACAAAATGGTTGACTTACAAATAGCTGAACCAAAACAAAGAATTTTTAATTTATAAGGGGTAGGTAATTTGTTTTTTCTTTTTCTTTTCTTTTCTTTTCTTTCTTTCTTTTTTCTTTTTCCAGGCGTCTGATTAACATTTGTAATTCGCCAAGGCTTGTAATCAATCACAATTTGATTGATCAGCAATCTTTCCATACAGTATCTTGTACGGTTGCCATCATTGGCAAAGCGTAAAGAATCAACAAATAATAAAACTTCAAGTGGAATGGTGGAACCCACACACGTATACACATATAAATGTATTGTTTTTCAGATTTGCAACCACATAAAAACTATGAGAATAAACTTTTCATTTCCATTTTCAAATAGAATTGTATTGAAATAAAAAATATAAAGAGTTATTACCCTTTTGGATATTTTATGAAAATTAAAAATGTTGCTTTTATTTATACAATACAAAACTAGGATCAGTTTGCAATTTATTTAAAAATATTATACATTCTTTACAGGTAAATTTATATGTGAATGTAAAAATGTATTATATATAAAAATAAAAGGATGTATGTTTAAATTCAAAGTTGAAGTTCTCAATTCAAGGTTTTCCGAAGAAATGAAAACATAAAGAAACAATATGAATTAGATGAAATTTTATTTCACTTCATTTCATGTTATGCAAAGTTTAAAATATTTTGTTTTTGGTTTGTATACTACACCCTTTGAATTCGTGAAATGGTATTAGGAGTAATTGTTTATAGAACTTGAAGTTTTTCGAGATATCTCTTGATTTACTCTTTCTTGTTTGCCATTCCCTTTTGATTTTACGTTTCGTTTTTGGTTAACTGGTGATGCAATGCAGACCTTAAGCGCTAGGTGTACGTTAATAACCATTTATATGATTATATGTATTTCTGTGAACAGATCATGAAAAGGTGGTTTGAGTTCATCATTTCGATCCTTCGGTTTTAATTTTTCATCTTTTTATGGGTTGGCAACAGAATGGGCACCAGAAGAAGAAACAATTTACTATAGACAAATTCCTGCTTATTCGGCAACTGCCTTGTTTTACCTGTCGCCATTTCTTACCTAGAGGTGATTTGCTTACGCAATCCAATAAATGTACTTAAGACGCAATACAAAAGCTATGAGATATGCTAGTAAACACGTAAAAGTGTTTGAGTTTTCTGAAATCGTCAATGTGTATATTCTAAAAATGAATGACATGTTTTTCAAAATCAGTAAAGCATTCTCGAATTCTCGAAAGCGTTCCGAATTTCAAATAAACTCTCTTCGCTGAAATAAAATCATAGGAACTTTGTTTTTGTCACAACATATACTTTTATTATTCTTCTGCTTGTAGTTATATGTATTTTTATAGAGAAATTTATTTTCAAGAATCAAACTATGAGTGATTTTCGAAATAATAATAATGATATTATTTATGTGTATATGTATATACACTGCGTGCAAATTTTAAATATGTATTTGTTTTAAGGGCACAGGAGATTAATATTTTTATTTCCACTTTTTTGCTTTAACAATATAAAACTAAAACTGGGGAGCTTATCAACTCCGTCAACTATCAACACGTCTTATAGAGAATCTCTTTGATTTATAATCAGAAAATATATTCAGATAGCGGGATTACGCTCATTATGTACATTTTATGATGCTTTTAATAGGGATTTACTGCCGCTAAACCAACCCTACCGGCAGATCTTGGGAATACCGGTTCCGCGTAGCTGTGCCTATAACCTTTTGGCATGTTGGGTATATTTTTGCCAATATTATTGTGTGAGGAAACATCTTGCGTGGAATACAAATCATCCTTACGTTTTTCGCCGCCCTGATCTTGCCGAAGGTGACTTCTATCTGAAGTGGATCGACTGTCTGGGGAGTAATCTCTTCTATTGTATTCACGTGAATTGGTCCGTTGAATGCGTTCACGAGAATGGTCTATTGTTTTTTCACGGTATCGCGAATGATGGTGGTAATCGCGATTTTCGAGTGAATCTCTTGACTCTGAACGTTTACTGGAACTCTCCCGATTACGGGTATCAATCCTAGAAGAAGACATTCGGTCTTTCTCACGGTGACTTATTTTATCGACGTGTTCCATCCATTGATCTCGAACACGTGAACGTGATCGTATTTCAGGTGTAGGGGGCGAATCGTATATACGTTCCTCATCGCCCCAATCGTTAAATCTTCTAGCACTTGTTTCATCGGGATGATTTGTACCCTTTCGACCAGTCTTATAACTGCAATCATCTTTATCGTCAGATAGAACATGTCGACTTCCAGTACGTTCAGCAGCACGGAACTTTTCTTTTGCGTTCTCTTTGAAGCGATCTTTTAGCCCTTTACTACTACTGGAAGATCGGGAAAATTCTTCAGCATTGTACGCATAATCGCGATTTTCTTCGTGTTGAGAAAGTGTTCTGCTGCGTTGACTAAGTTTAGAATGCAATGGTTCTTTTGTTAAAGTGACTGGTTCAGCGTTAACGGGTGCAACTTCAAATGCTTTGTAGCGTATTGCCGAGGATTTTATCATTTTTTCCATACTCTCTATATAGGGTATGCTTTCAGGTTCGCGATAAGGGTTGCGTTCTTTGTTACGTGGAAAATTTTCGGGCTCACGTTCCCTAGAGTGATGCCAAGTTGGTTCAATATCTCGTATATCGCGTGCATGTTCTCTTGGACGTTCTGCACATCGGTTTGCTATATTGCAACGTTCGGGAGAATGGGTTCCCTTATGAATTCCACCACAATTGTTTTGCACTGAGTTCTGTTCAAAGGGCAAATCTGCAGGATCGACGTAGCGATGTTTACCTCCGTATCTGCGGGTCTCTTCTGCGGCATAACTTAGCACCTGATGAGGCTTGTTTTTGTTTGGTGCATATTCAATGAATTTTGGCTTTTCGGCCATGCTATTCTCTTTAGCATGACTGAGATGGTGATCACCATTATTTTGAATATCAGCTTCATCAAAATCATTGAGGCTATTACGAGATCGGTCTTTAAAACGGTGACTTGATGAGTCACGATCCAGAGATAAATTTTTTTTAAGGACACGATTTGTATCATTTACTTCATGATGCCTGTAGCGATCTCTGACATCATTGTTGTCATTATTGTCGATTTTATGAATTTGTCTCTGCTCACTTTGGAGAATCCGATTAATTTTGACATCGTAATCAGCTGGCCGCTTAATAACCGGTTTAATTTCATCCTCTCGTAAATTGGAGGACGATGGGTTATTTTTTTTTTCGCGTTCGTTTGGCAAGACTTTATCGTGACTGTTATTGGAACGGGACGAATAGGGCTTAGAGGGCAGATCGCGTAAATAACTGTCTTCGGCAGGCTGTATAGTAGACTTGCGATTAAGTTGCGCATGATGAGATATAATTGGCCTCGAGTGCTCTAAAGATATTTGAGAAGGCTTGAGAGCAATTACTGAGCTATCGGCTTCGTTTGTCCAATGTTCGTCATCTAAAATGAAACAAATCAGTATTTAAAACTGAAATTCATTATCGCTGCTTTAGTTTACTTACCGCTAGAACTATTTAATTCTTGACGTTCAGGACTTGGAGCTAAATCGGATCCAATACCCGAGGAGCCTCTAGATGACACAATTTTACCATTGCTTAGCGTAAGAGACTGTGAAACATCAGCCGTTCGAAGCGGTGGTGTGCTACCAACTATTAGGGTGTTACGGCAACGACGCAATTCGATGGCAGTTAAGTTTCCTTTGGATCGATGAACCGTATCATAATCGCGTGGTGGCAAAAGCAAAGGCGGGCCATTGCCGTTAAGCTTGGCTCGTAATTCAGCGGCTAGTGAATCGAACAATTCATTATTTTGCTGTTGACTCGGTAGCGGCTTCAAAGCAGGAGGCGAATGTGAAACTGGTGAATTCACGCTGTTCTCTTCACTACATTCCGAATCACGAGTGCTGTTACCAGTGTCACTGCCCAATGAAGAGTTGAAACGTTTCGGCGATAATTCATGCTGACGCCGGTTGTATTGATGTTTTTGTGAATGAAAGTCGCGTGAAACTAGTTCACGCGTTTGATTATGTTCATTGTCGATATGATTTCCCGTTTTATTACCAGGTAATGACGACGAAGTCATGTGGGGCATAATACCTAATCTAGAATTTTAGAGAAATTCTCACTTGATATGTTTGTTTTCATATATTGCGTCATTGCGTAGCGAAATTCTGAGAGATGTCGTACCCTATCCGCTCGCGCATGTCTCACGCGTATAGATTGTTTGTACTTTAAATAAAAGTTGTTTTCGCATATGCAACTATATGCAGTCCTTTTTGGATTTATTTGCATTTTTTATTATTAAAAGAAGGACAAACGCTTTGCGAAATCATAAGAATAGGACAAGGCGACAAGGCGAATGCAGAAAATGTTAATCTTTTGATCTTCACAATGCTGCATGTTCTGATCGTGTAGTCACTCACTAGTGATGACGATCAAATCAGGACAGCGTTTTATGGATATTGAAAAAATTTGAAAAGTATTTCCGCAAATTTCCTGTTTTTTCGCTACGAATTTATATATAAGCGTTATATAGAAACCTACCGGGATTCCAGTTCTTCGAAACGTTTTTGATTTTCCGGACGATTAATTAGAATTTGTAATTGTTGATGTAAAGCTTCGGCTGTAGTTTCAGAGTCGCAACGATAGGCATGCACATGTAGCGGACATTTGGTAGCGGGATTGTATAAAAGTAAAACACAAGCTACAATATCATCTGTTTGCATGGAACTGGTTATGGCACTGTGTGGTACAAAATGTTTCGATGAGCCCTATTTTAAATGAAAGGATAAGGTTTTCCCCTTTTATTGAAGTACATTTTCGAGAGTGATGAGACGTACCTGTATTATCTTTATGCCTTTGTGAGACACTTGCAGCGTGACTTTTATCGGTTCTTGAGCACGTGATCTATCCACAAGGTAAGGCAGTACCGAATTGATAACTCTTTGCCCCCGCAGACCTTTGGCCTCTTCAGCTCCCAGAAACCAAACATAATACGATGCTTTCTGAACATCGCGACGTAAACGTAGCGCCATTATAGTTAACAGCGATGGAATAAAATATGACTTCCGGTATTTATTGATTCGTATATGAACTGAAGACATATTTAGATAATAATAATAATAGTAATAATAATAATAATAATAATAGATAGCTAATAATAATTATAATACGCATTCGAAAGCATTTCAAAACACATTTATGGAAAGTCTACCTTTAATAGGAATAAACGTCTCTCTCTGTGCCTTGTTGATGAACTGTTTCGTTTGAGTGTTCAATAGTTTATGATCGAGTATTAGGTTTTACCACAACGCACATTTCGCTTTTATTCCAAATTGCCTTCCCATAATTGCGTACATGCCTGTACAATATATACATATATATATATATATATATATATATATATATATATATATATATATATATTTTGCATTAGCTAGATTAAGCGTGAATTGAAATAAAAATGAAATGCTTGAATGTGCATTTAACGTATGAAATTTATATATTCAGTTGATGGGACTTACAAGTGATATCAACTATTAGATGTTGTTTTTGCTAATATTGCTGTTGTTCTTGTAAAACAATACCAAGCACCTGTCAAACAAGTTGTTTATGCTAACTAAATACAAATATGCACAGAAACGTGCATACATACATATATACATACATACATACATACACACACAAACACACACCACAATATATATATATATATATATACAATTATATTTATTAATACTCCTATGATTTAAACGATTTTGAGAATGGTACACGAAATCTATACACAAAACGGTGTATTGGCAAATTTCACTAAATACTTATGACGAACGAATAAACGCAATTATGTTGTCGTGTATAGGCATCTTGTCTTGTGTTGCGTTAGGTTCAAGCGGCAGCGACGACTACAGCCACCACGATGGCAAGACGTTAAAATATATAGTTAATGCGCAGAAGTGAAATTCCTATACCATCACAATCAGGCTCCCCAGGTGAAACTATCTGTTACCGAAAGTTAATTGAAAGTTGAAAATATTTTGCGTAAGCGATCTTGTGCGTAATCAATACAGTCTACAAAGACTTAGATGCTGTTCATCGACGAAAGAAACACAAAAAAATTTTTTTTTTATTATTTTTCATTTCAATCTATAGTTTGTTTATGGATTCTGCGTAGACACTATCCAAAAATTGTCCACAAATTAAAATAATTTTTTTTCAACAAGATATTCGAGTTTTTCTTATTTTTTCTTATCATCATTATTCTTATGTATCTATGTGAAAATCTTAAAATATCAATCACCGGACATATTTAAATGCCTGGCTGCCATACGGAGTTGTTTAAGAAATTTCCTTTTTCTCATCACTTTCACTAAACACTATTTTTTTTGATTTCGTTTTGATTAAGATCAAATTAATCATAAATAAAAAAGATCTGTATGGATGTGTGTTCCATTTGTTGGTGGAATTGATTTTTAATATTAATCTATATCTAAATATTTAAATAATGTCCGACTAAGTATTTTTTTTTATTTTTTCTTAGCCAGGAATTCTATAGTGGTCGATTAATGTGTTCCACCCACAGCCCGACAGATGAAAGGATTAGCTTTCAGCGTAATTACACATTAATTAAAAACGTAAGTTGTCGAAAGTTTGATCTTTTTGCGAATGATTTTCGCAACTATTTCGGGGATGCGTATCAAATGTCAAGTGATATCTAATAAGGTTCACTATCAACTCTATTCTGAAAACACGTAAAGAACTTAATTAACTTTTAACTTTGTTTTCACTCCATTTGCCCAGTTATCATTTAAAGGCACACTTGCTTGTATTCCAAATATTTTCCCATACATCTTTACGTAATAATCATGCTCCCTCTGTATTCTTTTGCAAAAAAGACAAAACAAGGAAAAAGGTAAAGATCAGAAGAAAGGAATTGTATCCGTCTGTAACGGAATCTTTTACAGCCACCATCTTCGGCTTAAAAGGGGAAACACAAAAGACAAATAAAAAAAAAACAAATAAAATATCGATACTCTATAGGATGAGATGGCTACGGCCGATTTTTTCCATTTTTATACGCATGTTGTACGTGAATCATTTTCCGGTTATTTCCGCGGTAGTTTATGAGTAATGAGAAGAAAGCTCAATATTTTCGAATTTGAAAGCAGACATATTCTCAGTTTACGTTGTACTGTGAGCGTGTCCTTCGGCCTGTTTGGGCCATTTTCAACGGGAACGTGCTTTCCAATATTTCTGCAATATTTTCCTTGCTTGTCCTCGCTTTTTGTTGCGTTAAGCAAAAAGTTTTACTCCAAATATCACATAGACGAATGGACAGAGAAACTGATATGCCTAAATCGATTCAGAATTTTATTGACTAATTAAAAATGTATATATTTTGCGCGTTCTCTGAAAATACCTTCTGGGTTAATGTCCGCGAGATCGAAAGTTATAGATGTAAATATCAAAAAATTGTTGGTATTTTTTCTGATGTTGTTTTAGTTTCTTTTAGATTGCGGACGCGTCTGCGAACAGATCATGCCCATTTTTTTAACATAGCATCTATAATCGATTAGGGAATACTTGCACCAAATTTCAGCTTCGTATCTTCATTTTTGCGACAATTCGCAAAACGTATCCATCAAATTGATTTGCGTTTTTTGGTGTTTTGTTGAGAGAAAAGATTTTGTTTCCTTTTTGAACAATATGATTTTCATTTGCTGATGCCGATAACAGATACTACATACTAGTCTTCCCATTATTGGCATTATTTTAATAAAATAGTCTTTTCATCGTTTTCTGAGATATTCACTGTAATACAACTGAACCGAACTGAATATTTTCGAAATTTAATTGCAGGCTAATGAGACTCTTCACGTTTCATTTACCGAGAGAATAACAGGACAAATTAGTTTTCACATACTGAGTAGGTAGACTGTTTTTAAAATTCGTTTCATTGCTTTGCGATTTACATCTCATTATCATATGATAATTATTTGAAAATTAAATGAAGAGAATATTATTCAGCGTGGGTTAAGCAAAAAGTGAGTTATTATTCGTTGATCATTCGATTAATAATATTCAGCTGAATAAAGCACAGCATGTGCGAAATAATTGTGTCACAGCTCTTTGGGCATTTGAGCTTCTTACTTACCAATACTTCATCCATTGTCTTTATCTAATCTGAAGAGAGCTTTATTTAGATAAGAAACAATATTGTAATGTGAAATGCATTTAGAACAAAAAGTCATTGCGTTTAAATTTTAGTTAAGTGAGTAAACGTTATCAATAAAGGATGGATGTAACCGATCTTAGCTTTTTCGGTGGTAAATTGAAATCAGATAAAGCCGACGCTAATAAAACTTCATCGAGTATAACGAACAATTATCAAAATATAACAAATAGCAATAAAGTGATAGTTTCCCGGGCTACTCGTGAAACGGAATACGATTGCAATCATCCATGTGTGGGCATAGCATTAATATTTAATCATAAGGATGTTAAGGGACAAAAACAACGTGTCGGTACGGAAAGAGATCGGGACGCCATATACGCATCGTTAACTAATTACGGTTTCGATGTTCGAGTCTTTAATGATCTGACATTTGCTGATCTAAATGAAAAGCTTAAAGAGAGTGAGTAAGACATTTTATTAAGGGGAAAAATGTTATGTTGTTGTAAATGATTTCATCATCTACTCTCATTTTAATATGAATGGCATTTATATTTGAGTTCTTATCGTTTCGGTATTATATATAATTTTTATGTTTTTGTTGTAGCGGCTCAAGAAGATCACCAGCAAAATGATTGCTTGTTAGTTGTGGTCATGTCACATGGATACGAGGGGAGAATCTTTGCACGAGATATGGCGTATCCGGTTGAACGTTTATGGAATGCATTTTTGGGCGAAAATTGTACATCCTTAATTAATAAGCCCAAGTTATTCTTTATTCAAGTAAAAGAAAGGACAAAGAAATTTTTTTGTTTTTTTTTGTTTTTAAAACCCTTCTCTAAAGTACATTATGAAATAATCCGTTTTAGGCCTGCCGGGGTGCGAATTTAGATAAAGCTGTCACCTATAGAAAATTTACTCCTATGTCACGTCAATCTTTCTCATTAGAGCCGTGGCGGGAGAAGGCAGAGGCCGCCTTGTATGCTATACCGAACACAGCTGATATGTTAGTTATGTATTCAACATTTGATAGTAAGTAAAGAACAGTTAGGCAAACTTAAGTGCCTTAATAAAATTTCAACTTTTGATTTTGATTTCAGAGCACTATTCGTTTCGTAATATAGAGAACGGTTCGTGGTTCATACAAAGTGTATGCGATGTACTTGATGAAGCGGCCATGGATGAGGCTTCTTCGCCTCAAGGTGCGGAGCTTTTGCATTTATTAACTGCGATTAATAGAAAGGTAGCTTACGAATATCAATCGAATGCCAAGCAGGAAGCTCTTAATCAAATGAAAGAAATGCCAAATTTTATGTCTACGTTAACTAAGACATTTTATCTACGTGTAAAACGAAAAGTGCCTGAAATGATTAGATAGATTACGCGGACTTTGTCCGAAAAAGTGATTTACATTTCGATTTTGTCATCGGCCGAAATTATGATATCTTTTAGTAAAAATAATGCCTTTCTTTTACTTAAATATATTGCTTTGTATTTATTTACACTTTATTTTTTAATGTCTAAAAAATGGTTTATATATAGATATATATATATTAAACAATAATAATAATAATTGTGCGGTGTAGTAGGCTCATATGGTCCATCAATTATTTAAAAAATAGTTGTAAATATTTTGTAAAACAGAAAATAAAATAAATTGAGAAATTTTAACCTGAAAGGGGACTATATCTCAACACCCTAAACTTTATAATGCCTCGTAGCAGGAGAGATTTCGCAAAAATCCATTCATTCAGCTTCATATAGATTATGAAAGGTAGATTTTATTTTATATTCGGATTAAAGGATCATAAAAGAGTATTTAAAGCTAAATTTATTTGATTTGTAAGGCAAAACAAAAAAAATCATATCGAATGAATGGCAATGAATAGCTTATACTTAATAAATTTGTACTTTGTGTGGTAAAAATTCCTAATATAACAAATGCACATTTGTACGACTCTCGCCTATTTTAGCGAAAATTTTTAGAAAATATTTTTTTTATTATTTGTAATTCTTTATTATCATTATTGTTATTCATTTTTTTTCTTTTTTTTTTGGTTTTTTTGTTTTTTTTTTTATTGTCTAGGCTTTACATATGAAAAGACATTGCAAGTATGCATATATAAGTAAATATTGTAGGTGTTGGCACTGAAATATCATATACGTGTGTACATGCGGTATTTGTTTGCCGACAGTATGTCAAGTATTCTGTTGCTTTTTCAAAAATTTTCGCTTTTTCCAATTTGCAGTCGACCTAGATAAACAAAATTTTTTGAATTCATTGAAATTAATTTCATTTTCTTTTTCGTACATTTTGTTTTTCTGTTTTTTGCTTTTTAAGTTTGCTTCCAATTTGGTTCTCTCTCTCTCTCTCTCTCTCTTTCTCTCTCTCTCGTTCTTCTTATGCTACTTACGAACATGATAATTATCGGACAAGCATTTGGAAATGTTCGCAGCGGCTTGCGGTTGACTAATAATGGCAAACAACAGACAGCAGCCAGCAGCCAGCAGCCAGCAGCCAGCATTTCAATTATGCAACATAAATGTTTATCCACAGAATTTTTCGTAATAAAGTCAAGAAACAAAATACCAGCTTCCTTGCCTAAAACACTTAGATGGACTTATGCTTTAACGGTTTAGAATAGTTTGACCTTTGCCCATTCATCTTATTTCATATATATCTATAAGTTATACTATTTGTGCTGATAATCGCTCGCTAATTGTTGCAAAACATCAACAATTGAGAGATTTGGAAGTATATGTAAAAAGATTTATAAGAATTTTTCGGAAAAGTCAATAGCAAACAATGCAATATATTTGCGAATGTATTGATCAGAGTCATTTTCTCCTAAAAAAAATGTGCCTATAGAGGTGAAATGTCAGGAAATTTTAAATCACAATTTTGTTCTTATCGTATTATTATTATTATTATTATTATTGTTATTATTATTATCATTTATTTGGAGCAAAGAAATAAATTCTAGGATTAGGGCACTAAGCAATCAGGAAGGACTATTGGTTATTTCTTCCTTTAGTTTCTATGTCATATCTAATAGAGGAGAAAATTTCATTTTGTCACTGTTAGGTTTAAAAGAAATTTATTTTTTACATCTCTCTTATTAAGAACATTGCTGTGAAAGTCAAACGTAGTGATAAAATGAAAAGTAGCTGACGTTTTAAGAAACTAATACTACTAGCATCTTGCGAAAGTTATAATTGGGCAAGGCTAACCTTTAAATAATCTGCACCACTTCGTCTATGTACAGTACAGTTATTCAGTCGTTTTGATAATAATACGTGGAAAAGCCCACATTATTTTCATGCGAAGGCATAGTTTGCATGAGAGTCCGAATATTGGAGGGTGGCCAGAACATCACAATTTCGCAAGTATAATTAATTTACTAAATTTACTAAAAGTTGTACAATTTTTCAGTTTCCATCATTAAACAACTAAACATTAGACTTTTCATTCATATAAAGGCTTATTTTTCGTGATAATCCACGCATGTGTTAGGATGTATATGATACGAATCTATATGATACAAATTCTCAACCGTTAATTTTTTTACCAAGGACTAATTTGTGACCAAGGACTAATTTACATTATTATTAATTATTAAAAATTATACTTTTTTCTGAGTGACTTACTATGTATGAGATATCTTATATGGAATGGGATTCAAGAAATAGACGTATATGATCCAAATTTTGTTCATTTTATTTTTATGTCAAACTACTATAAGACTAATACAAGAACAAATTTTTAGATTAGGCCTATTTGACATATAAAGTTTTACATTTGCTAAGAATCCGTATATGGGATGCTATCCGAAAAATAGACGAACTTGGTCCAAATTCAGTAAGATCAATGTCTCTATCAATTTACTGTTAGGAATAAAATCTCACCATTGAACAGCCTAAGTTAGAACTTTTTGTCATAAAAAGTTTCAGTCTTCGTAGACACGGTTATACGAGACGTGGGCCAAATAATTCGCACAGCTAAGCCACATTTTTTAGAATCCGACACATTTTCAATAGCGTTCGTCTTTAGGTCAAAGCACGTCAATGTATCAAATTTCAACAAAATAGACAGATAAGAGACGGACAGACGAACAGACAAAAAGACAAGCTTAGATCATTTTCTGAATCAGTTGGTATAATAAATAGTGAGTCTATTTTAAACCCTTCAGTGTGTTACATCAGTTCGCACAAACTTAATATGCGCTGTACCACAAGTTTAATGAATTTCGTAATATCCGTTAATATCATAGAAGAAGCAGTAGATATATTACTTTAGCAGTTATTTCGTTACCTACTCTTTCAATTTTGTTCTTTGTATGTGAGCAAAGCATTTGCGCAAAGCAAAGTCAATTGAGTCGAGAAAGTTTCTGTAAATAATTCAGTTTTAAGTAGATTTCCTACGAACTGTAAATAAAAATCTGCTTAACCTAAAAATCACAATTTTGTAATGTGAAGTTAATTTCGAAAAGGACTTGTGAATAGGAACGCAAAATCAAAATGGGGCGTTTTCTAAATGTTTATTATTGACTTAGACGATCCTATGAACTAAGAGTAATATTCACTTTTGACTGATGGGTTAACCCATGTCCATTATTTGTTCCGAAGCTATTCATTCAGTTTATTTTACATTGATTATGAACTAATCTTTCCGACCTTGTGGCTAAAATGAAATTTTTAACTCAATGCTCTACAAAAGTGTCTAAACTAGAATGTATGGGTTTTCGTTTAGCTTCGCTTCTCAATTAACTTCATCCAGAAATGCACCGCCAAGTGTTTCCACGAAAAATCTTCATTCCTTCGCGGATAACTCCGAATCGTCAAAAATAACTGCCGATTGCACACAACAGTTACTTTTTGCTTTCCCAATTCCCCTTTCGCAATTTTTATAAAAAATTAAATTGTAAATCCATTAAGAATTTATAATGCAACGCTGCGTGTGAAAGGGCGCGCTGCTACGCACCAACAAACTGTAGATCTTCATAACTTAAAACGTGGAAAACGATTGGAAAAAGTACGACGCGAGTACGACAAGTAATGTAACCTCAAAAACAAGATCAAAATATAAGCTAAGCCATAAGACGAATTAATTGATTTAAGTGGAAACAGTGAGAATTTAACTCTAAAATGAAACTTGTACTGCTGATGTTTATCGACGCCAAATGAATATGTTGAACGATGTATGATTGCAAGAAAGATCAGCAATATCTTAAGTTAACAGAAGCAAAGTTATTCACTTGCGTTATAAGAGTTGCTCAGGATACACGGTTCAAGCTCGAATGACAACTTCTGTCTCTAGCCAGCGGACTCATGCAGCATGGTGCCTTCTGATTACCACTTGTTCAGATCGTCGCAGCATGACTTGGCCGGCACGCGTTTTCGAAATGCTAAAGAAATGCATAAATGGGTCCAAACCAATATCGCCCTTTCGACACAGTACCGCTATGTTGCCAAGAAGATGGGAAACAGTTATAGGAAGTGATGGAAACTACTCTGATTAATGTATGTTGTACTAATATATCTCAAGAAATGCCTTTTTCAAATGAAAAACTGTTGAGAATAAATGCAAGCACCTATTAGCATTAGTATAAATCATGTGCATAAAAGGAGGTAAAGAATAATCAAATAATCACTTTGCTCTATAGCTAACCTTTGTAATCGTTGACTTGCGGTATCGTACGAATTTTAAGTGTTAAAGGTAGCGGCCACCTTTTCTTTTAAAAGCATTTAAATAAACAGCACACGACCTCAAGCGAAAGCTAGTAGCAAGGCATTCCAGTAGCGAGCCGACCGAACAATGAATGAATGCGCACTCAGCTAAAAAATTTAATATACGCGGAATTGATATGATGAAGTTCCTGCTCGGCCTAGAAAACTGTAGACGTTCGAGTAAAGAATTCCGCGTTTGTCACTGCGAAATTTTGTATAGATAAATTAATAGCCTCTATTTTAAGAAGTCATAGATGAAGAGCTTCTGTATAACGATATTTATTAGACATTTACCGAATAGAATAAAGGGCAAGGTTTCATAAAGGGCAGGAATTTTAAATGATTAACGAACGGCCTGACTAACCTGAACTCACTCAAGGTCCTCTTTGGGGCAGAGCATATATATGAATTATTTCTTCTTTATCTTCTTTTTCTTCTTGTTCTTCTTATAACTAACAAATTTTGCAAATCTCTTTTCTTTTTTTTTTTTTAAATAAATGAAGTGCGTTGAGAGACTGAAAATGTTTTGAAGAGAGCTTTATGCAAAATGGAATTTTTGCGATTAACACGACAATAAATGTCGATGACAAATAGTAGTCGAATTAAAGCAATGATATTATATGGTAAGCATATAGGTATAAATATGCGTGGATGTATGTCGTTGTTAATTAATTTTCTTTTATATGAATAAAAATTGATTTAGTTAGTGGATGAGTTTCATAAAAAGTACACATATACAAGCACTTACACCCATATGCGCACATGGACGAGTTTAATAAACTTGTATGTATGTGT